AGGAAGACAATTCAAATGCTGGGTTGACTGTAATAAAAGCTCTCAGGGTAGGAGATAGAATCAGGACATGTGCTCAGCTGGGTTACTTTAATAACATTTTGCTAGAGTTCAGTAGGTCTTGTTATTATTTATGTGTAAAATTTAAAAAAGCCACCAGAAATGCACATTAGCAAGGTTAATAGTTACTTGAGTAGAGTTGGTGCGAAGTTTGGGCAAAAGTGCACACATTTTACAAACTTACAGCAAATCTATTGCTAAAACTAAATCTCTGAAAAAAGATTTGCAGAAACAGTTCTGTCTAAGGTTATTTTTAAGTAAACTGTCAGCCTAGCGTTTTCTTCACGCTGTTCTGGTAAGCAAGATGTATCAGCAGGTAACTTGGGCATTACATTTTTGTGCTAGAAATAGTCAGTCCTCTAGCGTGCATTGTCCAAGTACTGCATGATGCCATTTCTGCTGGCGGGTGACTCCTATAAAATTTCAGATCAGATGAGTATGGCTATTGTAACTGGATTTTCTCATCTGCCAGCCATTTGCATTCATACAGAAAGGGCGTTTTGTATTATTATCTGTCACTTTGATTTATAAAGAACTATTATGGAGAGTGTACTAATACAGGGGCTGGATAACGCAGTTTTCTGCCTCAATATGCAACAAGGGCGTGCACTTGACACAGAAGGTTGCGGTGGCCATAGTCCTACTTCTGGGTTACTCTGTCAAAATACGTTAGAAGAGACAGAGGCTTACATATCTCAAGTGGTATTTCTGCAGTTCTGAAAAGTAGTACTTACTTTTAGTAGCTTATTCTGCATTTGTATAAAATATGTTGCGTATTTTCTGATGCTTTATCATAGCTGAGATTTTTTCAGAGCAAGCCGAGTAACAGTTGCATTGGTTGTCACGTTACCTGTTGTAACAGGTTAAGTGGCATTCATTGATGAGAATAGTTGATCAATATATTGTTTTTTGTTGCATATATGTACTTTGCTGAGCTGTGTGAAAACAGGTGGAAGCATTCAAAAGCCTGAGTGAAACTTAAGACTAATTCTGAAGAACACTCAAGTTTAAATAGGTATTCTCTTTTGAGTGCTTGTGAAGTTAAAACAGATAAAATTGCAGTAACCTTTTAAATATAACAGTATTAAAAGGATATTAAGAAAAGTGCATTAATTTTTTATTAATTATCCTAGTATTAGTCTTCCTGCTTTACTCTTCTGCAGTATTTGGCTCAGCATTCAGCTGTAACTCATCGTGAGCATAAGGTGACATTCAGTTAACTGCCTTGTTGGAATAAGTGGTGAAAATGAATCACTTTAGGATGCAATTCCAAAACTAACGTTCCAAGAATACAGTCCATTCATCACTACTGTTAGTTCAGCTTCACTTCAAACTGTAAATATGTGAAACTGGGCTTGCTGAAGATTGTATAAATGTCCTGACTGCTCCAGCTTATGAGATGACAAGGAGTGCGTGGGTTTAAACAAGTATTTTAACTATTTAGCTTCCAGTCTGAAGTTGGCAACAGTGAAATCGTGAAACTGAATAGTGAAACATCACTTGCCAGTTTTATTTTGATAATCTGTTACATCAGTGGGATTTTCTTACTGTGTACATTATAAAATATCAGCAGAACTGATTTGTGAGAGGAACATGCAAAGCAGTTTCAAATTAGATCATAACAAAGCCAGGATAACAGAAAAGAATCTTGTTCTGGTTTTCGTTCCCTTTATTACATATAATTTTATTACAAGTGGATCTTCTGCCTGGACCCAGCCGACTCCATCTAGCATCATTCAGGTGTTTGTGCCATGCTTCTCTGAACTCTGCTTGTAGGAGCTTGACGCAGGGGGCCGGAGGCTGGCCCTGCATTGGGCCAGTACGTGCCTGGTAAAACCGCCTCACTAGGGCTTTGGGCCTCATTCGGATGTGTTTATGTCTCATCCACTTTCTGCTTAACAGAGACTCTTAGCTTAGATGACCATAGCATTTCAATCTCCCCTTAAAATCATTGCAAAGAGGAGTTTATATCTAGCCTCTTGGCAGTGCTTTCGGTTCAGTACTGCCAGTGCACTTTTGCACTCCTGCTAATGTCGTGTTATTGAACTGGAAGTTGTTTCCTTTTGATCCTCTGTAGGAGGGTTTTTTGCTTCATCTTAGCAGGCTGTTTGCTGCTTGCTGACAGCATTGAAGCTGGAAGCAGAGAACGAACAAGCAGGGAGATTGAGTAGTTCAGAATTTTTCCAAAAATTTCAGGGGAGCAGGAATATACGGCGCTGTCATGTTTGGTTGCATCTGAAAATAGCTGTAGTTGACTCCTCCCCTTTATGACTTGGTTTCAGTAAACACAGCAGTGAGCTGATGAATGTGAAGCAAGTTTAATACATGTGCAGTGTATTTCTTACTGTCTTTCAGATTCTAACAGTGCCTTTAAGAGTTTTAAGTTTGTCGTTTTTCGTCCAGTTTTCTGAAATAAACCTTTAATTTTAATGTGAGCTGGTTTAATGTGGGATGAAATTCTATTTCAGGTAAGCCCGAGCAGTTTGACGTCTACAGATACATCTTCCAGCACTCAAAACAGTTGCAATTAATATTGAAAATGTCTGTAATCTTACAAGGTTATTGGAGAAGTCATTTTCCCTTCTTAAAGGACTTTGTTGTGGTCATGCTTTTTTCCTTAATCTTAACTGTCTTGAAAGCATTATTTGAACAACGTTGCCACATGACTAATCTTACAGCTAGTCACATCTGTCATGCTTAAAATGACTAAACAGTGTTAGTATTAAATGGCTTTTCTGTGGGATATATAAGCTGTTTTAAGTAGCAACGGTGTCAGTAAGCAGTACGTTTTGTATAAAGGTTCACAGAACTGTGAGTTTCCATTCTCAAAAGTTTGATGTTTGGGGCCTGTGAGGAAAAAACGGTATTTGTAGAGCTGTACGAAAATACAAGTTCCAAGGGAGTATTTAGCACCTTTTGTGACATATATTTTAGCAGTCAAGACTCTGTACTCAATATTCTTAAAAGCTGAAGACTTCAGACTATTACAGAAGAAAGCTCCTTCAGGAGGAAGTATCTGCAGTACTCTCTGAGTACATTTAAACAAGCCCATCTGATAATGTAATTTCTGCCTCTGATGAAGCATCCCTACATTCTCTCAGCTGCTAGACAAACATCGTTGCGTTCTCCAAATATCAGGTCTTTTCTTCATACATGTCTTAGTTTCCATGCTTTCATGGGACAAACAGTACAGTATTTTTACAAAGGGTCTTGATCTTTGACCAGACACTGGTGTTGGTTGTTTGACCACTAACCAAATAATTTTTGACTTTACAATCTGCTGTTGGTAGTGCGGTTATGACTTGCATCTCATGCTTTTGTTAAATATTCCTCATGTACAAGTGGCAATGATTGAAATTTAACGTGCACGTTTTCCAGAACGTAGGCTAAAATAAATAGAATATTAAAGCAAGATGGATGTTTTAAATGTGCTTTTTAAGATGTATCCCTCAAACATTTTGCATGTAAAAGTAGTAGTATGAAAATCTTTAAATTCAGTAATTGTTCTGGCAAGTTCATGGTGGGGTTAACTTTTATCTACCAGGTCAAAATTTTACTGAAGTGACATGAGCTTCCCTTCTTGATTCTTATTCCTTTATGGTAAGAAATTTGATCTGAAGAAGACAGCATAGAGGCAGGGCTACAACTTTCCCTCTATAGAGGCTCTAGGGAAAATGTTTATATTGCTCTGGGACTCCGGAAGAGGTTATACTGCTGAGGATGGTCTCTTAAGTGTTGTGATTTTGCTCTGCGCTGTAAATAGGTTTGTGTGTATATTACAGAGCTTGACCTTATTAGTTGTAAAACAAATATGAGATATGCAGCAGTGTCTTTTAGAAGAATTCAAATCCAAAACTGTCATTAGTGTCCATACGGACTTCTGGAATGAGGAGAAAAACGGAGCTTCAGCAAGGTAGATACAACAGCTGAGCAAATTTTCTTCAGAGTGAATCTGGATATTCAGAGCAGTTATTTAGCTGGGCTAGTACTGTAGAAACACTTATCAAAGGGAATCTTAATGCAGTTATGCTCTCTCTTCTTAGCTGGGTTTGAGTCATGTAGTCTAGAAGAGATTGGTCTTTGTTTTGGGAAAGCAGTTCAGCTGTGCAGCTGCTGAAGAGGACTGAGCTGAGATGTCAGTCACTGACCCAGATGCCTGCACTCTGAACTGTCGGACATGCGGGTGCAACACAGTACCTCTCGGTTGCCTTTGTGCGAGGTGCAAGGCAGAGGCTTGTCAGGTCCACATACCTAATTGCTTCAGCCTGGGTGAGGAACACTGTGACCCAGCATAAGGTAATAAACACAGCTTGAAGCCAAAGGGGTCGAGGACATGGCTTAGATCAAACGTGGCTCCATTCTGACTGAGCAATGTGACTAAAGGGAGAAGAACACATTTAGTATAAATGCAGCATTAGTCTCAAAGGCAGTCATTTAATTTTACATGACAAACCAAACTCTGTTCCTCCTCTTTCTCCTTCCAACTATGGCAATTTCATGTGATCTTACCATATCAAGACCCGTTGACAAGAAACAATAGTGTGTTTGCTCTTTTTGTAAACTATAGAGATTTGCTCACTGCTGTCCCTAGAGGTCTAAAAATCTGTTTCTGTGCCTCTTACAGTCTTACTTTCTCCATTATTGCGAAGGTGACCATGTTTCTGTTCCTCCCATTAAGTCACAAGCTGTCTTGATTTTCTTTTTAATTTCCAGCCCAGTCGTTTCTTATGTAAAATAGCCCTCTATTTTAAGTATGAATGATTATAGCAAACAGGATTTGACCTATATAGTTAAAGCCAAATATTACTAAAACTTTGCTTTCACATATTATTCCAAAGGTGAAAAGGAGTATCAGAACTAACTAAAATAAGACAGGAGGTTTTTGAATTTGCGGACTGTCTGAAAGAACAAATGCTCATCTAATGGATATTATGACGCATTTTTGTTAGTAACACTGCTACTAAATAAGTGTTGTAATTTTTTTTGTTGGTTTGTTATTAGGATCCATACTATAGATTTAATGATGTGGTGTACAGATGGATCTCACTGGATAACTGGACTTACAGCAGGACATTCAAAACTCCTTTTGACGTCAGGTAAGCAGTAAAGATAGGTCTAAAATAGTTCTGTGCCATCATTCATGCCAAATTGCTTATTAATCCGTCAGCTCAAAATCTACTTAGTACTTCTGTGTGTAATAAGTTATGCAGTAATGTACAGCTGCAAAGCTGTTGCTAAAGGACACTTCAGTAGTTGTTTTTTCCCTGATTTTTTTCCATTGTTAAAAATTACTTATGAATTGCAGAGACTGAGAAAGGATAATAATTGGTTAATTAGAAGCTAGCTCATCTGATATCTGGTGGGTATGTGAACATGCTGTGTTGCAGACTTGAGCCACTTCAGCTGTCATCTTAATTTGACTATTTAAAGATATATCTACACTAAGTCAAACATTTTTGGAGCTAGTTGAGATAACTACTGCTGAAGATAACAGGGACATGTATTATCTGTTTTCCGTGCGTTGTTAACTCTAGTTATTCTAACAGTTTTACATCCTTCTGTCATCTTCTGTAGAAAGTGGCATAAAGTGAATTTGGTTTTTGAGGGAGTGGATACAGTAGCACAAGTCCTGATCAACAATATCACTGTTGGCAGAACAGACAACATGTTCAACAGATACGTAAGTAATACGTTCATTTCTGAAGGTGCTCCTGTTTTTCCTTCAAAGCCCTTTTGTGCCAGACGCTTTGAGTGTGTTCACATAGACGTGAAAATAGGTGCTAGCGCTCAGCAAGTGTTGACCTGAGGAGTGTTTGTGCAGTCAGAGGACAGTTGGAAAGAGGAGTGTACTTAACTTTCCAGGTGCAGCAGGGTCAGATCTAGATGGGAGTGTGTCTTGTTCTAAATGAGAAGACTGATGCAAGAGGATCAATTCAGCTAATAATATTAAGTCTTGCTTCTTGGGATCTGTCACAGCTCCAAGAAAGTGTAAGCTCAAATCTGTTATATTAGCTGTAAATCTGCTTACTGATTGGTTTACATGTGAAATGAAAAGGCAGGTGGAGCAAAGCCTTTATAGATGTTTCCATGCCTTTTTATTATATAGGGTTTTAATTCTTAATGTTGAGATTTTAATAACATTGTCTTACATCTTTGGGCTATATCAGCATGAGAGTACTCATTATAGAATGGTCTTGAGAGTGGCAGAATCATTCAAACCAATTTTATAGCTTTAACGTTTAAAATGATTCTGAGTACTGGTAGAGGGGAAAATCTCTGCTTTTCTCTTGAAGAGTCAATAAAGGAAGAGTTAAAGGAGGAATGTCTTCTGTTTGTCCATTGAGTAATCAAGTCACAAAGGAAATCTGGTTTCTTCATGTCTCATCATTTACCATTCTAGCAGATTTCATTGCAGAGGTACTGGACAGAGATGAGAGACCTGGATTCTAATGCCTGGGTCTATGTGACCTGGAACAAGTCACTTAGGTTCTCTGTGACTTAGTTGTGCTATTTATCAAATAAGAAATGTCATGCAGCTTTTAAGAAATTATAATTATTTAATATTTGGAAAGTGTTTAAAGATTACCAACAGTAGGCTCTGTAGAATGGAGAAGTGATTTATTTTATCCTTATTTCTGCAACTTCATTGTGTCACAGATTGTAACGGTTCATGAAACGGCCTTTAGTGTAAAACCAGACTGAAACGTATCAGATTGAGTCTAGGGTTGCTGTGACCCAGACCTCTATGTGGTTCACCTGTTCCACACAAGAAGTACCTCTGCAAGAAAGTCTCTGTGAAGGCTCCTGTGGAGGATGCTATTTTTTACTTTTTTGTTTTCTGCTGTCTGCTGTAGAAGTGAGGCAAGTGCTAGTAGGGTGTTCACAAGTTGGCAAGAAGTGCCAAGACTTGGAGTGTCACGAATTAGCACTGTGAGAGAAGAAATGGGTATTAGCCGTTGGAACCATATTGTCTTGATAGCACAGGATGATTACAAAACCGAACATTTGTCCCTCTGTGCAGTCACACTGAAGGGGATGTTGTGAGTTGATGAGGAAGCTCCCAAATGCTTTGCTTGGTGCTGACATGGAATGTATATCTGTGCATTTTAGGGATGGTGTTGGAGAGAGCGTGAAACGTGCCTTTGCAGCCCTTGTGCAAAAGGCAGCTCAGTGCTCTGTGGTAGATAAGCTGACAGCACAGTGTGAGTTGGAAGAACTCTGATGTGGACCAGCTTTCTGAATGGGAACAAAACGTCTTTCTAAAGATTCAGATGAGTTCTGAGTGAGGAAGGAAGGTTAAGAATCTCCTGCCATCCTCATCTTTCAAGCAGTTCTGTGTGTAAGCAGGGTGCCGCAGCCTGCAGTGGAGGCTCAGAGTGGGCAAAGTGCTTTCCCCAGAAAGAGCTCCTTGTATCCGCAGTCTTAATGTACATTTTCTTTTTTCAGCTTAAGAGGTAGCTTTTCTTTTCCTCCAAACCCTGAGCCTGTTGAGGCTGTAGTTCAAATGCCTTTGAATAACATCTGTATGGTATTAAAATCTCAGTGTGACGGTGATTATAAATTTCATAAACAAATGTCAGAGCTGTAATAATTTTGTTCTCTTTTCTTGACCTAGAGCTTTGATATTACCAGCATTATCAAGGAGGTCAATTTTGTTGAAGTCCGTTTCTTATCAGCCATTTCATACGCAGCAGAGCAGAGCAGATGCCACAAAGCATACAGCATCCCCCCAGCATGCCCCCCACCTGTGCAGAAAGGAGAGTGCCATGCTAATTTCATCAGAAAGGTAGGGGCAGAATTGACTGTCTCTGGCTTGAGGCTTGAAAAGAGGAAGTCACCACGTGCTATCCTTACAGATGTATTCTGAAACCTGCAGTGTCTCTGTATTAGTAGGGCATACTTATCATTGCCACTGTCTTCTGCTGCCCCTCCAAGAAACTTGTAATCCAACATGCTGCTAAATTAAGAGGCATAACAAGGCCAGGCCAACCATATCTAAGTGATAAGAATGTTTAAGAGGCTGTTTTTATCAAGGAGTCAGCAAGGAGACTTGCCGCTAAGAAAGCAGGATAGCAGTGGGAAATAGGTAATCATTACATTTTGATCCACTGGATGGGTTTAGCAATGTATACTGACAATAGAGTTCACTGTTAGAAATACCAGAGGATATTGCCAAGGCTGTAAAAATCTCAGCCAAGCAGCTTTGTGAGTGTTTGCCATTGCTCATGTGCTGCGCTATTTATACTGGGCAGCTCTGGCATGTCCTGAGAAGCATTACCTAACAGAGGACCTGTTTTCGTCTTATTATGGTGTTGTGAAGTATGACTTATCGGTGCATATTCAGTAAAAACAACAATGTAATGTACAATGAGTGAAGGTCAGAAACTGAATTAAGACATTGCTTCACTGCTGTTAAAACTCAGTCTAGATAGACTATCGTTTGTGTAGCATCTCACATATTTCCGACGGCTTTGCAGCGGTTGGAGATCTGGTGACCTCATTTTGGAATTGCCATTTTTGATTTTTTGCATGTTTGTCACCACTTATATGCCTTTCTTGTTAAGTGACTTTTGGTCTTTTTAAGAAAATCCTTTAGCGCCTCCTCAGAAATGACTAGAATCCTTTTAATATAGAACTGGATCTAATATCCTTTCAAATTTGTTAATGGAGAGGTGGATTTCATGTTTTTCTGGGAACATCCTTCAGGATTAAGTTGCTGTCTTTATTACTACATGGTGCTTTTATTTTTAATGCATTTTAGAAAGTTGTTCAGTTCTTCTGAGTCCCGGTGCTGTCTCTACCATATTTCTTAGAAATCAGTGCAGGGAGGAGCTTGACCGCAAGAAGGCACTTGAACAGCTGTAGTTTTATTTATAGAGTGAAAATGGCCAGGAATGATTTTTATGCTTTACTGAGCTATACCTTTAAACTTGTAAGAAAGTGCCTTAGTGCTCTTCCTCAAAGGAGTTGATTGACTGTACTAGGAAGCTGCTGCAGACATTTCCAAAAACATTTTTCATTCCGAGTATGAGATGACAGCAGCAGAGACGCTACATTTGCAAGTAAACAAACGCACTAGGACATTGCTAAAGTAAGCTGGCAGCTTACAATCTTAAAAGAATGGAGAGCTGTTTACACATCTGAGGTTCAGTATTAAATGCAGTAAATATATCTGAGTCTTAATTAGAATTTGTGGCAAAGCACAAGCCTTTCACTGGTATTGTAACTTAATGGTACGAGTGTAATTTTCTCATGACACACTGTTCCTCAAGGTCACTATTAAGGAATTGCACTATTCTCTGCAATATTATTAGTGAAACCTGACAGTCTGTCAGTGATAAATTTGTTTATTTTTTTATAAAGGGAAGATTATTTCCAGTCCAGGTTGTTTTCTAAGAATGTATTGTCCCTGTTTTTACACTTGAAATAGGTACAGTGCTTGCTTCCTGGAAGGCTCTTTTGCAACTTGATAGGCAGGCAGGCCGACTCCAGCGAGGCAAAGGATAGGACAGACTTGTGCAATGTGGTTTGCCAAAATTAGTATGCCTTGCCTGTAAGTTATTAGTTTCTAAATTTAGAACTGTAGGTCACTGTACAAGACTTTCAGGAGATCTGTTGTATTTGCTTTGGGGGCTGGGACTGTGTGAAACTGGGAGGGCAGCTGCCTAGATGTCTTCAGAAGATTTTGTTAACTAGAAATCTGACTAGGTTTAAAAAAGGACTAAATGGAAAGCAATGTAGGTGCTACTCTGTCTGATGAGGATTATTTAATTCTGCCAGTTATTCTGATGGTAGAACCAGAACTAAGCTATTTCTCAACCATGTGTTTGTTCCCTTTGCTTCTGTATGAGAGAAACAGAAAAAGGAAGAAACAGTGAACATGACTAAACTACACAAATGCACCAAACAAACATACGCATCTGTTTCCTTGTATTAATCTTTGGTGTTACTGCAAAAATTAAAGGGTAAAAAATTTTCAGATGTACCTTTGGTTTTTAATTTAATATTGTTTTCTGAAAAATTGTGTTTAGTATTTGTAATGATCAATTTGCTGCTTATTTTGTCTTTTACGTATAAAATTAAATACTGGTCTTAAAGCTAAGATAATTGAGAGTTAATTTGAGAGTAACCTGCTGGCTTGTTTTTTTGATGTTTACTTTTTTGAGGTGGTGAGGTAGGGTGGTGTTTTGCTTTCTCACTAACATGAAATTCTGATATATATGAATATTTCATATAAAATTGTATTTTTCATGTAAGTGCCAGAAGAGTTTTAGTGAAGGAGTAAGAGAAAAATACAGTAGGTTATCCCAAGTTGGTGGAAACTGGAAAAAAATCTTACTTTTAATGCATGGCAATATTTTATTTCTAGATAGCAAATCATTTTTGTTTCTGGAACAGCATAGATTTCTGTGTGAAAATTAGGCAACTGTAACATGATCATTTGGTATTCCAGGAGCAATGTTCCTTTAGTTGGGACTGGGGCCCTTCTTTTCCCACTCAAGGAATCTGGAAAGATGTTAGGATTGAGGCCTATAACCGTTATCACCTGATTTACTTCACTTTGACTCCCTTCTTTGGTAAGCTATATACTTTTTATTGTTGTTTCACCCTTGAAATACAAACCTTTTTATTGTTAGGCTCAATTAACTGACCATTTAGGAAAGGTGCTATTGTTTTATTATGACTATGTATATAGTGCTTACCACAGCACACCCATTTAGGTCTTGAAACAGTGCTTCAGTGTAAACAATAGCGATAAAAGTTGTTAAAATTCAGATTTTTTTTGTTTTGTCTTGAAGGTCCCAGAGCAACTGTAGAAGTTTAATTGTGGTATAACTTAGGTTTGCCCTGATGTTCTGTTTTGGAAGTTTTGTTTTGTTTTGTTTTTTACTAGCATGGGTTTTCACCAAGACTCCCGATAAATATGTCTCTCTTTTGTCTCATCTCCATTTAAAACAAAGGCAAAGCTGTTACAGGGAATTTAGCTCCATATTGGGAAGACAAATACACTGTGAGCAGTTTCAAGAGCGCTGAGTTTTCAGGACTTAACATGAAGTTTGAGACAGAAGAGCAGCCGTGCTATGCCAGGATAATTTGTTAAGTCTGCAATAGGAGAGGATAGCCTCTTGCATTGCTGCTACCTAACCTGCCTAACCGGTTTCCTCCCCGACATGGTCTTTGGTTTTCCTCTGCTTTGTCCTGAAGGTCTTGCAGCCAAGCAAAAATAGTTAATTTTCTGTTGAAACTTTCTGTAAAAGGTAATATGCCCCACTGTGGACCACCTGCAAGCTTTCTTTCACCACGTGTTTAAGCCCAGTCTTCAGTGGAGTAAAGGCTAGCACGTGTGTCCTCTGTACTGGGTTGAATTTCACCCCTTGGGAATAGAGTGGTTGTGTGTGAGTCAAAGAGGAATACGTCACTCCCTGGATGCTTTTAAAGCTTCCTGAAATAGCTGCAGGTCTTAGCTAGAATTAACGTGATTGGAATTTCCATGGAAAGCCCCAGCACAGACCGTGTGTGCTGTCTGCAATGTAGTTACTGTAAAAAGGTTTTCTGGTCCCTCCCACATTCCCACAACTCCACCTTCTGGTAGGTGAAATCTTGCTCTCTGGAAAAGTGGAGAGCAGATCGCTTTCATTCAGCAAACAGTGCTTATTAATATTCAAACATAAAATATTTGAAAAATAAAGACTAAGAGAGGAACTTGAATTTAAGCAGCACTTACACTGCTCATCAGATTCGGCGTCATAGCCTTTTGACCACTGAATCTGTAAAGGATTCATTGTTCTTGATTTCTCTGACTAGGCCCCACAGTTCAAGCAGTTCAGGAGTGGGATGGAATTTCTTGGAGGGGAGGTAAAATGTGCTGTAATGTCTGACGCTGGGTGTGTGTTGGGGGTGGGGAGCAGGTTAACCCTTTCAACATTTCTGAAAATAAGTCCTCTCTGGGTAATGCTGGGTGTAATATAACCTTGGGAACACATTCATTGCTCTTAATTTTACAGAAGACAGCCAAGCCACACCAAGGCTGAATGTAATTCTTTGCTTTTGGAAGGAACTCTCTTACTTTCTCTTCTGTGAGGAAGGAGAACTGAAATATATGTATGAGAAGAGAAAGCAAGTAATTAATAGTTGATGTAAACAAAACGTGTCTTAGTTCTAGTTTTCCATGTGTTCTGTGTTTTCTGTTTGATTTGCTTTTGCTTGGCTAGATGTCCATCTGTAATATTTAAAGTATAGGATTAACCAGGCTATGCTTGTAGATAGATAATGTTCAAATTTCCTATTAACTTTAGCAATTACATTAAATATCCTTGACCCTGGCTTGCTTTATTCAGTGAGTTGTTTTGTAAAGGAAAGGACTCTCTGAGGTAACTGTGGAGAGATCTTAGGCAAGCCGTTAACGTGTTTCCTCCAGCACACTTCAGTGGAGGAAGGGACACAAAAGATACAGCCTGTCAAGTCTAGACACAAAGGGCCTAATTCATCCCCAACATATCTCCATTCATTTTGTCTAGTGACTCTGGGATGAATCTGGCTCGTTTTCTGTTAATACTGTTTTTGTTTCATAGACAAAAGTGATTGTACTGCCTTGTGATTACGATCTTTCCCAAAGAAGACCACGTTCATATGAATGCTGACTAAAAGATAATATAATGTCTGTGGGAGTGGGTGGGGAAAAAAACCCTTCCTAATGATAAAGAGTGACTGGTTTCATGTTTTCTGACTTTTGCACAAAACTCCAAAAAGCCCTGGATAGCTCTGCAGTAAAAAAAAGAGTGAGAAATAAAATATCCATCACACTGCGTGGTTCTTTCCTGAGTCAGCCGATGTAAACGCAGAAATCAAGTGCGCTAAACAATGAAGATAAAGTTTGTAGGTCTGGTTCAAATACAGTCTTAAAACTGTTAAATTTAATCTGAGGGTTTTGAATTGTGTCTTTGATGAGTGATCCTGTTAATTAATAGATATGTAAACGTAATTCCTAAATTCTCTTTTTTCTCCCCTTTCACTTAGTAAAGAGTGCGCAGCAGTGGAGTCTTGAAATTGAGTCTATTTTTGATGTAGTCAGCTCCAAGCCAGTTTCAGGTCTTGTGACTGTGAGCATTCCCAAGTTGCAAACGCAGCAAACGTACAGTGTGAAGCTTCAACCTGGAGAAGGCAGCATTGTGCTGCTTGTAAACATCAACAAGGTAAGGTGTTTGTGGGACCCTAGCCAAATACGGAGCGTTTCCCTGGTTTCCAATGTGTCTTGTCTGCCTCCATACTAGTTTTAGTCCTCCCCCCCCTTCCTTTTTTGTTCCTCGCTTTGACAACTGTACTGTGACACTTTCAAGGATAGAAGAACGCTTCTTTTCCCCTCTAAAAATGATTTCTGTGGGGCTACATGGCCCAGTATGCAAAAGTTGATGAACTCTTTCCCTTATCACAAAACAGAAAGATTTCATCATCCCTGGCCACCGTCAAATGAGCTACCTAGGTAAATAACCCTTGGATCTTGTATGTCACTTTCTGTTTACTGTCAGTAGGTATCTTGTCTCCCATGCTATTGTGTACTGGGTTGATTGGGACTAGAATATACTAGACTGTGCTTGGCCCTGTCTTGGCTCTCCAGAGAGAGAGAAGAAGCGTTCCTCAGACCTTGACTGGCAAAAAAAATTGGTGGAAAACTTGTGGAGCTGTGCTTGCTTACGTTGTGCTTGCTTAAGGACAGAATAATTGCAGAAAAGTAAAGGATGCTCTGGTGAGGACAGTCTAGTATTGGTGTACACCTCAGTGCTGAAAGAGGAAAGAAGTTGTCTGCTCACCTTCCGAGGGTGTTGGAAAGCTATCTGATTGGAAAAGTAGCTGGTGGTGCTTTCCAGTGGGAGCCAGTGGCATAACGGGAGCTGTCATTTGCTTTGCTGCCTTTAACAGAGCATAGTTAGATTGGTGGGTGAGCATGGTGGTGTGAGCAGGAACTTTGGGCTTCGACAAGTCTGGCAGTTAATGACATCTGCGGGTCTGCAGTGACCTGTGTATATTTTACTGGCCCCTGCTAATTATCTCTTTTGCTGTGTAGCTCTGCATTTCTTTCCCCATTTTGAATGTATTGGGTATGTATTTCTGCGTTCTCTTGTCGGTTTGAGTAGAGAAAAAACGTCTGTTGAAGGCAAACAGTTCATTTAGGTTCTCATGCGCACACTCAGCTGCTTGCATGCTTATGTGCTTTGTTTTCTTTTGAGACAAAATTATAAAAACATACAAACATAAAATTGTTGTTACTATTGTCATTTGACATGCAAGTTACATGTGCAATTACAAATACCCCGTTTTCATTTACAAATGATTGTTAGTCTCCGCTTAGCCTTTTCAGGGATTACATTAAACAAGCACTGCGATGTGAGACTTCTAGAATGTTTTTGGTTCATTTTTGTCACCCCACCCACAACCTCAGAATAACTCTGTTAGTGATGTATGAGTGCAAGTTTGTGAGGAAACGCTCCTTCAGAGCAGAGGCAACAATTCTTTATTATTCTTTGTACACAAAGGGCTTTGCTGCGTGAATTCACAGCAGCTGATTTTACGAGAAGCCCTACAATGTGTTCGCATGTATCGATGAGTGTGACAGAGCTCTTACTCTGTGTAACAGACTTGCGTGGTGCATGTTAAATAGAGAGACCTCACCAGAAATTTATTCCTAGTTGAGAGCTTATTACAGGCTATGTTGTGAAGTCGGTGGATGTTTGGATGGTGTGTACTGCCTGAGATGCGTAGCAGTCTTCCTGCAATCGCCACACAAAGTGCTGTATTGCTAACGTGACAACATTTTGCTTCTCAGCTAATGGTGAGCATGGGGATGACATCATTAGTGGCCAATGAGACGCTCCATCCATGCTCAGCGGCTGCAAAAGCCTCCTCGTTGTGTGAGCATACACTGATTTTTGTGCTTCCGTTTGTATCTCTGCCACATAAGGATTAGCCCTCCTGTACAAGCAGTTAACGATAATTGCAGATCACGGAAGCTGAAATGTTAGTAGATATATTAGTGCTTATGTCGGAGTATGGCTACAGCAAAAATATTGTTGCACAGCTCTCTGGCCTCATTTTATTTGAACAGGCTGAGGCGCTCCTTACGTGACTCTATTCAGCAGGGATCCATCCATTGTTTAATTGCATGCATTATTGCTTTCTTTCCACGATTTTTGTATTGCGCACTCAACTGACAAATTTTGACGATAGGACTGAGCAGCAGAAGCACGCTATTGGAATGTAGACATAACTATAGGAAATCCATTACATAAATGTTACTGTATGTGACTAAGTCATACTATCATCCTAGAGGTAGGTTTTTTGTATTTGTAAAAATTAGCTTGATAGCGTACTGATGAGATGAGTAAAAACTAGAGACAAAGCAGAAAACACTGAAAAGAGAGAATGAAACTTTCTTTGACTTTAAAGCTTGACATAACTGAAACAATCAGTGTGGTTGCATATTACCCATGATCACAGCTGGAAAGTGTCACCTCTGTATACTGAATATTGCGTATGATAGATAAAAGGAGCAATTAGAAAAGGCAGAAATAGGAAGAAGGTGCTAAACAAACGCCTGATGATCAATGGGAATTGCTATTTTTATTACTAATGTTTTATGGTGCCTGGAAAAGATCCAGTCATGTGCTATATGACTGTTATTTGGTGCCAATCCCTCCATAGTGCCTAGGGGCTAAACAAGAATGGCTCCCCATCACAGTGGTCAGAGCTGGGATCTACCTTCTTCCTTGGAAGCCTGCAGTGTAGATGGACTTAGAAGGGGGATGGGTGTAGTACAAAGGCTAGTGAACAAGGTCTATCGTAAGACTCAGATTTTTAAATTTTGGAGGAATATTAAGTCAGCGTACCTCAGCTGAGGGATAATGACTGGATGTGTGCAGACACGTACTCGTGGCCCATTGTGGACACAAGATGAAGTGACAGCTTGAACCTCGTAAGAAGAAATCATACTTTCTCTATGGTGTAAATACTTTTACCCCACAGGTGCAGCTGGCTGAGAGATCCCAGGTGCCATAGCTCAGCTGAGGCACTTAAACTCATTAGGCTTGTAGTAATTCACTCAAAAGTGTCTGAGTGTTATGCCTCATTTCATATGTATTGCTCCGACCCTCTTTGTTGTATGTTCTAGAGTGCTACAGTAGAGACTTGGTGGCCAAATGGACATGGAAAACAAACTGGATACAACGTGACAACGGTTTTCATCATGGAGGCAGGATACAAGATTGAGAAGTTTTCAAAGGTGAGCCCTTCAGCTTGGTTACAGCTGGCAGTGCACTGATGTTAGGACACCTGCTCTGCATGGCAAGTATCTAGAACTCTGGGACATTTTGCTGGTTTGTAATATGCATGTGCGGATATTAATGAGAAATAAAAGTTTTCTAATGTCACAATGCATATTTACTAAACTGTTTTCTGGCAGCCCTAAGCTGTGTAAACACTTTTGCTTGCATTCAGACTGGAAGATGGCTTATAATTATGTGGAAACCTCAGAAAAGGTGTTTACTCTTTCTTAATTTTTCTGCCTTAAGAAAGAAAAGCACTCTTTGACTTGACATATGATATTGATGGTTTTGCGTCATGTACTGAAAAGTACTTCTATATTTATATCGATTTTGTGGAGAGGGAAGTTTGTTTATTACTGAGATTTTTCTGAGTTTGTTTATTTTCTGAGATATTTAAAAATATCGTGGGATAGGGCATACTTTTTAAAAAGCTAACGTAGCTTCATTTATTAGACTATGATACATGTGCTTCATGTTTTAGAGGAGCATAACATCTTATATATGACCACTAAAGTAGTATTTAGGGATGTTTGTGGAAGAAGGGGGTCCTGGAATGCGCTGGCTGTATAACTCTCTGTGCATTGTTTACTAAGAAGCCTAGAAGAGGCGATCATCCATTGAAAAAAATCATACAAATTCGAGTGGGCCTCTCATGCTATCAGCATGTGGAAACAACCAAGGAAATGTATGCATTTATTAGGTGGTTCTGATGTGTATTGCCTTACTAAACGCTAATCTGCTCACCAGGCTTCTGAAACTGCTATTCTTTGTAACATTTGTTCTTGTGAAAAATCCTGTGAAAGCCAGTAGCTTCTGAAGTCCTAGTCTTTACAAAGTTTCCTCTGTGTGCTGCAAGACTGGGAGAAATGTTCGGGTACTTGGGGAGCAGGATCTGTCAGTCAAGCAGCCAGGTTTCAAAGTGGCCAAACTCTGTTGTCAGTGGTCAGCCAGAGTCAGAAAGTCGCCTAACCAGGTGTGCTAGATCCCAGCTGCCTTCCCCAGCACTCCTCTTGCCCCCCATGGCAGAAGGGAGCTGCTGTAGGAACAGGAAGTGGTGCTGTGTTGCCAGGTTGACCCCTGGGGAGCGATGGAGTGGGAGCACAAACACAGTGAACCCTAGAGGCCTGGGAACGTGAGATGCTGCTGAGAAGCTGTTCCCTGCTCTCGTGCTTAATGGGTGGCCCTGGCTGGGTGTTTCAGATTGCCTCAGATTTGGCCAGTTGCATGAGTTCCACTTGAGCGTGAATAAAGCGATATCGCATTACTTCTATTGGTAGTGTAAGTGCTCTGTTACAGATGCACTTTGAGACAGTCCCAACCCTGCCTGATGGCCTCTATTAAGAGGACCTCCTAAATACTTTGGGAACCCTGACTATAAATCCCATTCCTTTTTTGTGGCACAAAAAAGAATCATGCTGGAGACTGAGGAAGTTTTTCTCCAGAAAATTGAATTCACTGGAGTAAGGTCAGAAGTTTGTTAGCTAGTGTAGTATAGCACTCATAATGTGGTGGTTCTTTAGTAGCCTTCAGTATTCAGGGGAACTGTGAAAGCTTTAATGAAATATTGGGCATTTTGTTCAAGTTTTCATGCTAAAATAAATATGCAAAAATAACAAATTATAGGAATAGGTGGGAAATTCCTGTCCTAAAGCTAAATTCATCATGCTGTTCTGTGCTCAGCGGACCCAGTGTACAGCAGGATCACAGTAGGAAGAAAGCTCTCCTCTGCACACCTCTATGTGCACAGAGATACTGGACAGGAGTCAAGTGCCCTCTCAGTGATCTGATTTTGTAGCTTTTCTTTAGCTGGGAATTTCTTTAGTAACACAGAGGCTGAGCCCCACTTGCCAGTAATCCACTGTTGCTCCTGGGACAATACTGTAAAACACTGCAGCACTTGGGGCAGGTCCCAGATTTTTCCTTCTATATCTGTGTTCTGGTCATTGACATGATGCAGAGGGGGTTAGTCTGAGGTCAGTGATCTCTAGTCTCCACTTGGGCATCTAGTTGGTCATGTGCATTACCTCTGTTTGGGGGTCTAGTTAATCATTGTCCAGCTGACTAAGAAACGCCGAAGGGGAAGCGAGCAGAGCAGTGATTTTCTTTGTCTTTTCCCACCACTGGAAATAAGTTTCTGTCCATCTGCGTGATTTTTGATAAGCTGAAAAATATAAAAACACAGTCAGGCCGTGGGATTGCTCACTTCCCTTTTAAATTTCAGCCTTGTTTGATGTGTGAAATAGATAATTACATTTAGAATTACATAGAAATATATTTTCGTCTTAAAGGCAGGTATATAATTTGTGCTCCACTAGGTTAATTTTAGCTTGGTGTACTTGTTTCGAGTGTAGCTTATGATGGAGAGCTGTCTGTGCTCTACAACCTGACCTTTTGAAAAGGCATAGCAAATAGTCATTTGAGGGAGGAGTGGTTGCTCGTTTAAGGGGAGCCTAGAAAAAAACAGATTCCTGCCCTCCAAACCCAAACTTGTTGTTTGGAGTGTGTTGGCTGAAATTCCTCATTTGCTTTGCTTCTCTTTATTTAATTTCCTAGCTTTCTGCCTGTGGTAATGAGTAACAGGTACCAGAAGGAAAAAGAGTTTTCTTTCCAGTCTGGATAAGTTGAAGTGGAACAAGGATTCAGGAGAAAAAGAAGCCTAGGATCTCCTTGGATGAGACGCATTCCATAATATTTTGCAGCTGCACAGGCACCTAAAATGGCAGCTGCTCTCCATCTGCCCTGGGACAAGTGGAGAAGACACCTCTGCAAATAAGAGTTCAGAGCAAAGTATTACTGCAGTCAGCTAACTGCTCTCTTGTGACTGTGCCTTTATCTGGAATGACCTTTAACACCTTACACAGAGTTAGTGGTTATTTAGCTGAACTGGTCTCTGTGAAACCTTACTCCTGAGTATACTGTGTACAAATACAGCTGTGATGGCCAGAGGGGCCTTCACTTCCTGTCCAACATTTGTACTTGAATGCATACTTCTTTCCCTTTATTTGCCCTACCTGTTAAAAAGATGTCACTTCAGGAAACAGAAAAGCGGCACATTTTGTTTTTACTGGATCAGCTGCAAGCTAAGCATTCAGAGAAAAGACTTACCATAAAGTTCCTGCAGTCTCATTCCATAAGGAGAGAATTGCAGATTAAACGCTGACTGTAATTTAATGCAACCTCTGTATTCCTCTCACTGGTCTCCAACTGGACTTTTCATTGGATTCTGCAGCAAAAGGACGTGTTTGTGCTCCTACATGTGCACTTGTGCTTATGCGCTCTTTCTCTTTCTTTCTCTCTGTGTCTCTCTCTGCTCTTAATATGATAGTAACTTTTAAAAGTGGGTAGGTTTATCAATAGGACTTTTTTTTAGCCCTGTTACAGTGCATTTTAACCAAGCAGGAATTTAGAGATGAAACCATGTCTTGATTTCCTGACATACTGTAAGTTGTTAGCATTCAATTGGATTACTTTCATCATGGTTTTCCTAATACTTGTTCTTTTTGTCTGCTTTAAACCCAAGTTTCATGTCTTCACAGGCCTATTTTCGGACAGTAGAACTTGTTCAGGATCCTATTCCTGGGTCACCAGGTCTCAGTTTCTACTTTAGAATCAACGGCCGACCCATTTTCATCAAGGGCTCCAACTGGATACCAGCAGATTCTTTCCAGGACAGAGTGACCTATGAGACGTAAGCCACATTTGATGTCCTCTAAGGAGAAAGGATCGCCTTTACCTGATTCTCTACTGAAGGATAGTTTTGGAGGCTGGGACTTCTTTGAAAGTCGGACACTAATTGTTGTGGGCCGGGGCCCTCAGAATAAGGGCTTAATTATTAGTAATAGATTTGAGTGATGTTCAAGGCAGTATTCAAGTGTTACAGGGCTACTGGCATTTCAGATTGTCCTTAGGGATGATCCTCAGGCTGTCTCGTTGTAGTGCCTGGGACATGCTCACTGGTACTCGGAGGCTGGGGACCTGGAAGTGCATTTCAGCAATATCCTAACCCACCTAGTGCAGGGAGATGTAAGTGCAAACCAGTGTTTTTTCCTCTTCCTATCTTGCTCCAGCTTCCTTGGATTTCACTGACAGGGCCCCATAGGTGCAGGTGGGATGGAAGCCTTGTTTTGTACGTTGACTAGCTCTCCTTGTTCCAGATAGTTGGGGAACCTGGACACTGGGCATACCACAGTATGCATCCGTATGCAATTTAGAAGCAGGCGAAAGGAATAAAGAAGAATTAATTGGATTTGAATCCCTTAAAGTGGGATTCAGAGTCCCAGAGTCTTTCTCCTCTTCTCCCTTTCTCACTATGCATTGTGGAATGTGGGTAGAAGGTATGGATTTCTGAATGTGTTTAGAAAAAGTTTGAGAGAGCTTGAGCTCACGATTGATATTTAAAGCAAGTAGTATCTTAGGAGAAAAGAGCTACCTAATTAACAAAATGCAATATTTGTAAATCTGGTCCTGCAAATACTTCTGTAAAAGCACATACTTGTATGTGCCATCCTATCTGTTTTGTAAGTGATAACAGGACCAAGTATCTTCTGTGCAGAAATTGTTTTTTGAGATTTCTGTGCAGACGTGTGCAGACTTAGAAGGTATCAAAAATGGCCGGTTTCTGTTGGAGTTAAGCCTTGGATTGTGCTAATGATGAACGTTTGGAGTTTTTTTTTTTTTTTGGTATAACCTGAGAAACCCATAAGTGATGTAGTTTCACAAAACTTGTATTAATCTTCTTTTTGTATTTGACAGATTACGGCGACTCTTGAAGTCTGCAGCAGATGCTAACATGAATGCACTTCGGGTTTGGGGAGGAGGAGTATATGAGCAAGATGAATTTTATGATATTTGTGATGAACTAGGAATAATGGTAAAAAAAAAAAAATAGAGATCATGTGCTTAAAAAACTGTCAAATTGTAAATAAAAATTACCTAGTGAACAAAGTAAGAGAATTAATATATAAGTTCTGGCTATCTTTCTAAAGGATATAATGGAGTAGAAACCTGAAAAGTCAGCTCAGCCTGGTTTTGTGTGTGTGGGGGGGTGTCTGTTCTTGTTTGTTTACTTTTTGAGCAGTTGCTTATTACTGAGTCTGTTGAAACCAGCAGTGATGTTCTGGAGTCTTTATATTAGAACTCCAGCTTGTATTTTAGCCTTATAACTAAGGCTGCAACCCTGTGCCCTTACTTCTCCGCACCACCCTTTGCATCCCCTTCCTTTCTTCCCCACTGTCTTCTCTTGTATCTTTTACGTTTCCCAGAATCAGAGTTACAGACTCATGCCTTTAACTCACCGTCTCCTATCCCTTTTCAGACCCAAACTCTTATCTTTGCATACTCTACCTCTTCCCCCAGTTCTGCCTTTCCTACTTCCTGGGGAGAGAATGAAAGAAAAAATGGATGGCTGACAGACTAGTACTAGTGATGTCACTTGATACAGAAAGATGTTTACACTGTAATGATGATCACATTATAAGAACTTTTGTAGATTATAGGCCTGAAGTAGGCATCAACAGGGACTTGCAACACTCAGTCCGTTAGTTGTGAAACAATAAAGGAGCGCACAGAGGGGGTGTTATTCTCAAGCTCAACTAATACTCCCCTGCCCCCCAACTGCAGCCAGGCTGTGGGGCCCCTGTAGCTGTGTTTGGTGCTTACTCACGTGAGAACAGCCCTGCTGAAACATCCGAGTGCTCGAGCATACGCCTGAGATTGAGCAAAGGCCTTGCAATCTGACCTCCATGAGGATTTAAGGCCTGCTATATTTGAATTTTGTGCTTTTAGACAGCTCTGAGTAATCAAAGCGCTAAGGAAGGAGGTCGTGCTTTCCCTGCTGTGGAAATGGATTTTATTTCTTTAAAAGTATTTTTTCCTTTACAGCAGTATAGCTGAAACAATTTTTTTTGCTCCAACTTTCTAGAAAAAAAATTTAACTTGGCCTGAGGCCAAGCGTGGAAGGCCTCACCCAAAGGGACGTTTTGAACAAGCTATAATTGAGTATAAATGTAGCTGTAAGGGGAACACCTGCTGCAAACACTGATGATCCTAGATGAGTACCTTTGAATATATGAGCTTGGAGGCACATGTTAATAAGTTTGGATGAAATAATGACTAGATGAGTGAACGCCAAGTTGCATCTGCTATTAAAATCCCAAGGAGTGGGTTTGGTCTTACGCCCTGTACAAAAACAGGGAAACGATATATTGTGATTTTTTAACTAGGGAATCAAAAATTGATATATTTCTGCCTTCTGCTGTCTGTGCTTGGTGGGTGGAAAAAAAAAGAAAAAGATGTTACATCTATTTTAGTCATCAGAATGAGTGCCCTGATTTTCAGGGCTTCTGAGTACTTGTATTTCTTTCTCTTTTGACACTTGGCATCTAAGTAGGCCGCTTAGATCAGTGCCTGTGCAGTGATCAATGCAAGATTTGGATCTTATTTAGCAGCCGAAATAGCAAGAAGATGCTGCAAATTTGACCCTTATTCTGGGGAGCGGGAACCGTAAATGTTAGAGACTTTTGGTTATGTTTCTTCTGATGGCCTTGCAAAGGCATAAAAATGTTTCTGAGTCAAACTGTGCTGAAGGGAAAACAGTGATGATTCACTGAGGGAAATAGAATTTCTTTTCATACAGAGTTTTGACTCCACACAATTGCTGCAGGGTTCTGAATAGTTCCTTAGTGATAGCTTTGCGGATAGCTTAGTGGTCCTGTTAGACCTTTACAATTAATGACTCCGTTCCCTCCCACTGACCTATTCCCTATCTTCGGTTTTCTTAGTGAATGGTACACTGAAAGAAAGAGTCATGGAAAAGCAGTTTCCTACTGCAAGTGCCCAACTGCGTGAAGATCTTGGTTGATTCTCTCTCTTATTTGTGTGGTACGGTGTTCGGAAAAGTGTAATCTGCTGGGGAAGACTCGCCCCTTTAGGTTCATGTGCCCCTCAAAGTGATCTTTCTGTTAATATTTGTAAGATAGACAGGACTTTCTAAAAATGTAAATTTAAAAAAAATAGAACCTGTAAAACAAAGAATCTTATCCATTTTATTAGGCTGCTTCGTTCCCCTTTTTTTGTAATTCTTTAAGATGCAGATGGAGTTTACTGTTGAGTCGAAAGGCTCGCTTTTCTGTAGTTGTACCTACTTGATCTTTCTTTGATGAGAAAGATCACTGTGCTGTTAGAGGATCTACTTTGTTTCTTCCCTTCTAACTGGGTGAGATCCGTTGTGTGTGTGTTCTTGTTTCTTGAGTGTTTTTTTTTTTAACATCAGTTTTCAAATTTGCTATGGAGGTATTTTGTTAGAAAGTACGCTTGGAGCTCTGTTAAGTGTGCTCAATACCGCATCAGAGGAATTATTCCTTTCATTAAGTACTTGGGATTTGTTGTTAAACGTGTAAAATAAGCAGTAAATATAAAATTGTTCTTTTCAGCTAGAGACTGTCCCACGTTCAGGTGTGAGCAGGGCATGCTTTCTAACTATTCTGTTGAAACCCATTGAGATGCATCTTACTGAGAGGTGTTCCACTGATCATTGAAGGCTGGCAGGGTCTTGTTTCTAAGGATAAATAGCTTATAATTCTAATATTCAGGAAAATCCCTATGGAGTGTGTGCACCCTGAGGGCCTGCGGAGAATGCGATTGTGTTAGTGATGCTTTTCAAGTATCACTTGAATTATCATTAAAAATTCTGGCATCATTCTTTTTGAGACAAATAATTTCTGCCTGAAAAAAGGATTGTGCATCCTGAAAATCATGTGTTATTCAAGTATGGAAAATGATTTGCTAACAGATCTTTGTATTTTCTTTCTTTTGCCCTGCAGATTTGGCAGGATTTTATGTTTGCATGTGCGCTGTATCCAGCTGATCAGAATTACTTGGAATCTGTAAGAGCAGAAGTTACTCATCAGGTGTGTTGTCTGTTTGTGTCTACGATCTGTTTCCCATTAGCTAGTAAGATTTAGGTTTGCAAAAATGTTTATTTGAAGGTATTTGTTAGTGTACGCTTAGGTAGCAGGCACAAAAACTTTACCTGCTACGTCTTCTTTAACTCGCTCATGGGAGTGGCAGCCAAGCAGAGGTGCAGGCCTTCCTCATCTCCAAACTGCCCTCCTTTCAAGGGTGTTTGATTAGGAGCACTCACTGAGAGACTGAGCTCAGGGCTCAGCAAGGTGCTGTAGCACAGCGTTCCCCCCCAGCATGGGGCTGAGTAGATGGGGGTGGAGCTAACAGTGCACGTACGGTAGATGTAGGTCAGTATATTAAAACTGTGGCTCTTTGTAAATGCACATGACAAATGTTTGAGCCTGATTTGGAGCTGGGGGGATGGTGAACAGTGTGAATAAAAGCACGTGAATTGCAAGCTCTCGGACTTGTAATTCAAGGAGTAGTAAAAGCTTGCTTGCTTGTTTGTTTGTTTGTTTGAAGGGAAGTAATTTTGCTTGACTTCTGAAACTATGATGTGTATTTCAGGTAAGGCGGCTGAAATCCCATCCGTCAATTATTTTGTGGAGCGGCAACAACGAAAACGAAGCAGCCATTGCAAGCAACTGGTTCTCTATACCTTACGCTGACAGAGGAGTCTATATCAAAGATTATGTGATGCTTTATGTGAAGAACATCCGAGAAATAGTTCTTACTGTAAGTGATTTCAAAAAATTAAGAGGGCATATGGTTTAGCAGAAGGTTTTAATGTAAGCAATTTGAGCAATTTGTGGGTTTTTTTTTTTTCCTTTTCCTTTTAGGAAACAAAATATAGAATGTTATTGAGGAATTGCACTTCCCAAGCTCATTTAAAGAATTTTTAAAACTGAAGAGTAATCCACAAAGTTAAATAAACCAAAAAGAACTTAATGTATTTATTGTTCTGTGATAGGTAAAGAAGACCTGAAAATTTAGCAGATTTTGCTTTTCTTCTTTCTCCTTTTTTTTTTTTTTTCTTTTCCTTCCACAAATGCCTTTGCTTGCACTGGACCAAAAACTTCTTGCCCATTAATTAATTTACCTAGATGGTCAGATCTCCTTTACCATGATTTTTGTTGAAGGATACCTTAAGAAGGTGTCCTTCAGGCCTTTTAATAGCAGCTGAAGAAATGCATAGAGACAACATTTCTCCAGTGTGCTCTTCCAGTATTTGACTTAAGTGTTTGGCTTAAGCAGGTCAAAGAAGAGCTGCACTAAACACAATTCTTCTGGTGCTCTTTGGTCATTGTATTGTTTTTTGAGGAAAAACAGGCTAAACGTGTTTTACAGTATAGGAAGGCACAATAAAATATTTGAGACAAGACTTGCATTTCCTCATTATTTCATGGAGTCTACTTTTAACTAACTTTTATTTGTATATGTTGAGTGAAACTGATTTGAAAATCCCAATTTGATATTGCATAGCTAGACAGGGTTTAACAAGCATAATGCTTGAACGCCAGGGGAATATTCTGAACTTCCCTGTTAGCTGAGAGCGATGTGAAATAAGGAAATGTTGTGAAACTCATATTTTGTCCGATTAGAACTTACTGCTCTAGCAAGAAAGCATGCGTTTTTGTTAACCTAAAAAAAATGGCCTTTTCTCTACCCTCTTATACCGCATGAAATTGTAGACTTTAGAATATGATAATACTAGTCTAATCTCTGTCCTTTTCAGGATGAGATATATTTCATATCTTGGGGGCCCTGTGACCAGAATTTTTCCTGCACTAGGCCAGACAGTCACTATGTAGATGATAGATAGTGATGTTACTGGTTGTTATTGCGGGCTGCTGGCATTGTCAGAGTAGTTGTAGTCTGAGAATTCAGTAGTCCCATTACTACCTGGAAAGGTAGAGGTTGGAGAAGCAATAAAAATGAGGCACAATTTTGAAAGAACCTGCTAAGAGGGATGCTGTTCTTGCGCCTAGTAAGCTCAAAGGGCTAATAACTTGACTAGTATCTGCATTTTAAGTTCCTATTCTTCATGTCTTGTTAATATCTTTACTTTTTGTTTTGTTTACAGTTACAGTACGTGTTCATCTATACTTCGTGTAAATTGGGACAGTCTTTCTTTTTGGTCCCTTGGATGTATTTGCTTGCAACTTTTAATAACACTGTCTAATATAGAAGTTAATCCTGAACTATTTATCTAACCTGTCTCTAAACATGCTAGTATGAAAACAGTTCCGCATTCTAAATATTAATACTGTTTGAGAACCAGGATATTAAACAGGAATATAGATATTTGTATTTCAGTTTTTTGAACAAAGTTATTTGTGAAAGTACGCTGTGCAATATCTGTGATCGCTTGCATGAGTTTGCTTGACAGTGCATGTGTAGCAAAGTGGTGTGTTCTGGTTTGATGTTGTTTTTTGGTTATTGTTCACTTGTGCGGTGTTGCTGTTCAGCAGAGACCTTCCTTTATTTTAAACCCGTAAGTTAACTGTTTTTGAGGGCCAGAAGGAACTATACAGTGACATAGTCTAAGGTCCTGTGTTACGCAGGCCAGCAGAGGAAACGTGTAACTACCGGCAGAACTGGACTGTATCATTTAAAAAGGCTTCCAAGTCTGATCTAAAGACTTCAGGGAATCCAGGATATCCTGTAGTAAATTATTTTAGCTGTTATTTATCCATGTGTTTAAAAAAAAAAAGGGGGGGGGGCACACGCCTAAGTGCTTTGCTGCATTGGAGCTGTAGCTTGTGACTGTGGCAGCTCAGGCCTTTATCCTACTACAAGTAGGGTGCTGAATGAATTATACCTGAAAAGGATTCCTTTCTACTTTGTAGGATTCTGATAAAAGATTTAGTATAGTAATGAGGCTATAAATATAGGCAACTCTGAATGATTTGAACTGTAACCCTTCTAATAGTCTCATCTAGCTTAACATGCAGAGCCAGCCAAAATGACAACCTGCAATGCTACCGTGCAGGCGTTACTAGCAGAACACCTTGGCTTCGTGAGAACTAAATTCAGGTGACTGCCTAATAAGAAAGGGGAAAAAAATATCATGGCTTTGTCACTGCAAAGATGCTGCAGAAGTAATCATTTCCCTAGAGGGAAGAAGTCACAGTACTCAAATATTAATGATTCTTGAGTTTATTTTTCACGAGACATGCTTTAAATAGCGTTCATTAAGAATTTAGAACCATATAAAGATAGAAAATCTCTTGATGGGAGGAGAGAATCCCTTAGAACAGCAGAGCAAACGATATTATGCCCGGCTATCCTCCAAGTACAGGAATAAGAAACTAATTAAACAGGTGAAAATGATGAATGTCAGAATACAAAAGGAGAATGTTTCTTAGGTGTGCCTCAGAAATTTGGCAAAGACATGTTCTCCCCCCGCCCCCTCCATTTTCAAAATGTAGACTAGATATTGAGATGATAAAAAATGAATCACTTTCAGGGGTTGTGACTTTGTAGGGTTTAAAAAAAATTTTTTTTTTTTTTAAATAAATCCCAGGAAGATAAGAGTCGTCCTTTTATTGCGTCCAGCCCCACAAATGGCTTGGAGTCAGTTGAGGAAGGTTGGCTCTCCCAGAATCCTTACGATACGCACTATGGTGACACTCACTTTTATGACTACAGCAATGACTGCTGGGACTGGACGTTGTATCCTAAAACTCGTTTTGCTTCGGAATATGGATTTCAGTCCTGGCCTTCCTTCAGTACACTGGAAAAGGTAAGGCTGGGCTTCCAAACTTTATTATCCCTTTTGTTCTCATTTAGCGAGGGCAGTAAATCTCTTCCCAACAAACTACAGTGTCACAGCTGTAGTTGGGATCATGTATTATTAGGTCTGGTAGGGGATAGATGGGATAGGAGGGTGTGTTTTGGTGTTTATGGAGGGGATGAAGCTGAACTATTTCTCTCCTTAATATTAGGTGTATTTACCTTGATGTTGCAAGAGGAGCCAATTTTAATACCATCAGTCATGTTTTATTATGGTTGCCGTTATAGCAACATCAGAGAACAGTGTTACAATTTTCTTGTAATTACCTGTGTTTTAAAAATTGTTTCTCCTTTCCTAACCAGTAAATGACAGTTTTTTGAGCTCTCTGGATGGAGAAGCTTGTATTTATGGAAATGTTAAAGCACTTACTGTTCAACCCTAACTACTAACGTAATTCCAAATTTACCCCCTTACGCATGGCTTCCTCCTCCATTGGATGCATACCAACAAATACATAATGTTGTGGCTTGCTACAATAAAAAACAGGTGGTCGTGCCAGGTAAATGAGGCTGTGTTATGAGACAAGTAGCTTAATATTAATTCTATTTAATATATAGCTTGGTTTTGATTCCCTAACATCTGTTTTCATGGACTGTGTCTAAGGGTACACGTGCGTTTAGAAATGAAAGAAACACAACACCTGCTGAATTGTGCTAAATTCTGAAATATATTGATTTTTATCATTTTTACCAATTTCTTAACTCATATGTAAAACAAATAAAAAAAATTATTCTCGGGAATTTTTGTCTCCTGTTAAATTTAGGTACTGGATACTCTACCTTATTTATCTAGTTGGAGCAGAGTTATGCTGTTTGTCTGTCTGTCTGTTCAGTCAGCATGTTGAGATTCATGCATGCTTATTTATAAGGAGTTCAGAATGTTCCTTTCAATTTCCTGGACAAAGTATATGATCTTTTCCTAAGACATAATCAGGGCTTTCATCTCTATTAACAACAATGAAAATTACTCAGTCCATCCGGTCTGAAAAGGAACAAATTTGAATAAAAATATTTCGTAGAGATTTTAATTACAATGAAAGTGTAACAGTAATGGCTATGTGAGCTATACTGGATAGTTATTCTCGATTAAAAAATACTGTTTTCGCGATCATTTGTTTTCAGAGGTAGGTTGTTGCAGCAGGTTTTGAATGTTTTATTACTAGACTCTTTAGCTGTGTTAGCCTCTGAAACTTTTTATCTTGGAAAGAGCCCTAGCTCTTATCTTCTGAGGTACTAAATACGTGAGAGTATGTCTAAATGAGTTTGACTAGAAGCTGGGATTCTTTTGTCTTAATCTAGGGTGTTTTTGGTTTACTGATGAACCCAAACAAACCTTTGAGGTCCCTTGGTCAAACTGAACCTGTGAAGAAAATAAGTTAAGTGCCACTGAGCTGAGAGTTTCTCTTGCTGATGAAATAGCACTGACTGACTGTTTTCGCTTGTTCATACGCGTAGTATAAGAGAAGGGTAATACTGACTCAAAACTCTTGCACAAAAGGCACTATAGAAATGTATTAGCCACTTTAATGTTGTTGGATGATGGCAGCAGACTGTAATGAGTATCTTTGCCTGAATATCCTGCCAGTCACTAGGAGGACAATTTGCCTTTTCATTCTGGTCTTTCCTTCATGTTTTCAAAAGGTTTCTTCTGCAGAGGACTGGTCCTACACGAGCAATTTTTCTCTCCATCGACAGCACCATGAAAATGGCAATGACGAGATGATTCAACAGATTGGGCGTCATTTCAAGCTTCCCCAGAGCACAGATCCCATTAAAAAGTTCAAAGACATGATTTACCTCACTCAGGTAACAGCAAGGTCTTCAATACTGAAGTAGCTGTCAATACTTGTTCCAACAGATACTATCAGCAGTTAAAATGGAGTCTATTCTGTTAAAGAGCGTGCAGTCATATAGAAACAGTTTCTGCCTTGAAGTACCGGAGAATCTATTTTAATGTGCGACCAGCTTGCACTCCTCAGTTACTGGGGGGAGACTCCAACTTTCCTCGCAGAAGGGCTTGGAATACTTCTCAGGGAATGCTTCATGCCTGTATTTCCCAGAAACTGGCCAAACTGGGAGGAGGTCTGACTGGTTTCATGTGCTACCCCTGTCCCTGTCACCCGCTGTGCTCACTCATGAAGCTGGCAGGGGATGCGTGGATGGGCTGGCCCTCCTTGGTGCACAGCTCTTCCTAGAGCTACTCTATACCATTCTTCTAGGCTAAGTATGTTTTAGTCTTAATGTGACCTTTCTAGGCTTACTATTCTGTTTTTGCCACAAGGAGTACACCAACTTTTTTAAAGAAAACTATTTGTAGAGAATGAAGTGCTCTGTGAAGGAGATTATTAGAAGGTTTCTTTTCTATTCAGGACTCAAATATTGATGTTTTAGAGAATCTGTTTTGTTTTTTCAAATCAGTAGATTATATTTTGCTCTTCATCTGAAGCACTAGCTTGCTTCATGCTTGTTTCTTCCTTCATGTGGCTTTTAAGTAACTTTTTAATGCTGTTACGTTTAAACTGCTGTTATTTTGTGTTGTATCCCAAGGATTCAGAAGCACCCTTGACAGGAATAACGGCACACGAGTTTTTAATGTTTTGAGAGCTACCATCATCAAGTTTGTATACAAAAACAAAACAACTGGAGAATTAGAGTGCTGATGACAAGAGAACAAGGGCAGATGATGCTGTGAAATTGAAGGCAGGGGTGAAACTTATGCCGTGAGATCCTGACCCAAAAAGCTATGAGGGTTTCTCAGCTATGGGGTTAAGTCTATCAAGGCTTTAGTAACAGGTTAAACAGTTTAAGGATACCAAAATAAGGACAGCAGAAAAGATAGGGAGAGTGAATTTGGCCCCAGTAATTATCTAGAAGTGTTAACCTTACCTTTTGGGTTGGCTTAAAGACGAACTTTTTCCTGCTTTTTGAGGTGAGTCTAATAACATGCTTTCAGAAGAAACTAACTTCATTTTTTCTTATATTGTCCTTGTCATCTTTGGCACTGCTTACGTGGCTTCTCTTGAGGACTTGGCCAGTGAAAAATTCTGAAAAGCATTTTTTACAGTCAAGGTGGGAAGAGAGAGAAGTGGCAGCGCGGGTGAAAAGGGATTGTTCTTCAGGTGCACAGTTTTGACTGTGTTTTGGGGATGCGTTGTGTGTTCAGAGTATAGGGACTCGGAATGATTAAAGACGAAGACTTTATATGATGTGCACGGTAACGAACGCAGGAAGTAGTGCAGCTCTTGAGTGTGTTCCCTGCCCCTGCCCACCTTCCATTTACCTTTCAAAGATAGACCCTGTTGCACTGTGATCTTCACTGAGTAGAAGGTAGGAGTGGCCCCTCCAAAGCTCCTCTAAAGAAAAGCTTGTAAAAGCTGTTAGGAGTTACTAGGAAGAGATCTCACATAAGCACAGGCCCACTGCATTGCTTGCATACACTCTTCAGGACTTGAGTTTGAAGTTATATGCTGCTGCTGTGAACTCTGTGTTTTCTGCGAATATGATTTGAAAGTGAAGTACAATTTGAAGATAACTTTTTTTTTTTTAATGTATTTTTTTGACCCAGGTGATGCAGGCCCAGTGTATAAAGACAGAAACCGAATTCTATCGTTTTAGTCAAAGTGAGATAGTCAAGGGAGAAGGACACACAATGGGTGCGCTGTATTGGCAACTCAATGACATCTGGCAGGCACCTTCATGGGCTTCCTTGGGTAAGTTTTGCAACAGTTGTGTGATGAGACACACCACATATCAGGCTTGTTTTTGTTTTCCTTCACTCGAAATATCAGAAGTAAGGCCCTGCATTCTCTCTGGATTACATTGTAAGCTTTGTGCATGTTTCTATCCATCCTTTAGAAATACATTGCAGAAGAGTGTTTTACAGGATCCTCTTGATAGTTTGTAGAAATGGAAAAGGGTGAGGAATGAAGCAATTCTTTTTCCATGGAACTTTTCCTATTGAAATCCAGATTTAGCGCCACCAACTCAACCTTTTTTAGAAAGGTCTAAAGAGACTTAAGAAATTTAAAATGGCTTATAACTCTTAATTTCTTTAAAATAGGGGTGTGTGTGTGTGTTTGTTTAAGCAGTATTCTCATTTTACCTAAGGAACTAACATCCTTGAAGATGGACAAAGCTACCTATTAGGAAAAGCAGTGATGGTTAAGGCTAAGGCCAGATCCCCATTGTAAGGTGAACTTTCAACTGCCATTGCTTTGTTATGTAGAACTTGATCTTCCTGAAACTGTGCTGTGCTTTATACAGGATTTTCTGAAGAAGTTTTGTATTTTTTTGAAAGAGTTCTTCTAAAATTGAAAGCTTCTGAGAATTGCTCTAGTTCCAAAGAGCCTATCCTAGAAAGACGCGATTATATTTATTGGCTGTGCTGTGCAGATACGTGTGCCATGTCACCCTGGATGAAGATAGAAAGAAAGAGGGCTAGTGGGTTAAGAGGGTAACATGAAGAGCTTTTATGTATAGTTATGCTTTCCATAATCCAGCAGTTTTGATTTCAAGACACCTCCCCCCCCCAAGGTAAAATGATAAAAACATTTCCCTTGAGTTAGCAGTAATGTGTTGTCAAAATCCTATGGAACTCCAATGCTGCTCTGAGCAGGATGATAGTGTCTAAAGGTGAGGTATCCAGATTTCTTCAGTAGCCAGTCTGGAGATATGGTTATCTCCCAAGCGTGATTTCATCATGTTCACAGCTGTCTAATCAGTGGGATGAGTTATCTTCCCTGTGCCGATTTTAATTTTCATAAAGCTTCATATGACACCTCTCACGTAGCATAGGATTCTTTCTCCTGAGAAGTTTCTTGTTGGAAAAGACAAGATGATGAGCTTAGCTTTTTGCCTAACTTATTAAACAGCCAGTGTCAGGTGAGGTGAATCACTATTTGTGACTAAATTATTCTGCTAATACACTGTCTAACTAAACTACACGTGATACCTCCATTTGTATATATTCATTTTAGAACAGCAAAATGGAGTAATCAGGCATATGAAGGGAAAACTTGCTTAGGCAATAAGAAATAGGGAAGGAATGTGTGGTATGAGGGAAGTGGCTATGTTTCATGTTTTGAACGTTTTGTCTGGAAGTCATTTTGAAATGGAGAAGCCATTCTATGGCAGCCGTACAGGACTTGAGTAGAGTCTCTTTCATGTCAGTGTTGGTTATTTCTTGCATAATCTGCTTTCTAAAATATAATCTCTTTTTAAGGTTTTCACATGTGAAGAAATATGAGTGGATTAGGAAAAGCTAAACATTGGTTTGAAGTTCTGGACCTGTTCCTGGGACAAAATGCCATTTGACTTTGTTTTAGAGACGTAACGCTCTGTACCCTCCCCCTCTTTTTCTTTTTTGTTCTTTGGAGATGTTTGCCCCTCTCCCATTTTTTGCATTCGTCCAAGCATAGCAGCTACCACCAACAAAGCAGAACAAACCACGAGAAATAAAAGGCTGTTTTATTTAAGCTTTAAGACAGCGGTCCAGCTGTAATGCTTGTGTTTCCGGACTGTATGGAGCTATATTAGGAGATGCAGTACCTCAGTATTTATTTTTATGATTCTAGTAATGACTAGACTTTTAGGCTTTAAGTGCCTCAAAAGAAAAAGCTACTTGGAAAAATGTCTCTTTGTAAAGACAGGTGTACTGATAGATGAAGTAACTGTGAAGACCATAAATGCCTTTTTAAGTACAGAGCTGACGTCATTGTGGGAAATATATCAAATACTTGAATTATTCATAAGTTGTTGAAGTTAGTTTACAGAAAGGATGCTCAGCAGCGATACAGCTGTCCCTTTGTTTCATTTATTCCCTCAGCGGAATGAGGAAAGGTTTAATATTCATTTAATTAGGCAGTGTGGTAGAGGGATTTTTTGAAATGCTAATAGCTGAAATTTATGCAAAACTTCAGAGAAATTAGTTTTATTTGCACTTCAAAAACACATTTCTGCATCTTGTTAGGTGACATAGTAGCATCACTGATGAAGGTTTCTCTTATTTAAATCTATCATTTCATAAACAGAGCCATGGAGGGGTTTGCATAATTTCCCGTATGACGCGGAAGTGTTTCTTTGTGAAATGAGGAGGGAGAAGGTAGCAAACATGTCTCATTTTCACTTACCTTTAAAATGTTTTACTGGAATTGAATTAAAATCCGGCACAGCATTCCTGTTTTTACACTCCTGCCTTCAGTTCAGAACTAAACAGGTTTTACCTAGTAGCTGGCTGCAGAGCTGGTTGTGCTGTGTTGAATGCTTTAGCATCTGAGCGTTGTTTTGGTGAAGAGCGCTGTAACGCACTTGGCAATTTACCACCCTCCAATGAAAGTGTCACCTTGAGGTACTCAATTCGGCTGTCCTGAGCCTCCCATGAAGGGATAACTGACTTTTATTGCGGGTTCAATGTTTGGAGCCCCTGGTGAGCTGAAACCACAGGCTATTAGGGAGAATAATAGATTTGCATTCATGAGGTTGTGAGGAAAGAACTAGCAGCATGTTTCTCAGGTTGCATTTAATGGTGTGAAGTGATTCATTTAAACTCCATTCCAGAGGGGGGAGAACTGTTTGTTCGCACTCCAGCTAGCAGTGTAGAAGGCTTCAGGGAGCCGTCAGCAGCCATGGTATTGGCGTCTCATGACAAACCCAATTTTACTTTCCTGTTCTGAAGTCTGGTATTACGAAGAGCGCAGACCCGACCCTGCATGTTGTTGTCGGGAAGAATTTGGGGAACTTTGGATTTCTTCAAGAGTTCATTTAAATGTGGGGGGAGGAGGAGGAGGAAGGAACCATCCCAGAGTTGTTTTAAATAACTTTTGACTGTTGCCTGTGGGCATGCATGCCTGTAACAGGGAAGTTTAAACCCAGACATTTCTCACGCCAGCTATTCCATCTCTGGATTTCTTACTTCTCTGCGTGGCAGGAGGGAGATGTTTCATATGTAACTTGCTTATTTTTAAATCAAGAAATGTGACTCTGGTTTTAAGGAAATCAAGACAACAGTTGAGCTGAAAAATGTGACTGTCCTATGAATGGGCTTCAGTTCTCTGTGCTGTCTGAAGCTACTTTGACAACTATATTACCAAGATTCTGTTGCTGGAAAAATTGTCTTTGGAAGTCCCTTCCTCTGTGAAACTGCTCCAGCAATTAAGCTTTGTTCTTCAAAATGGCTGTAGGCTTTTTGGGAAGGGAAATATCAGCCTTTTAAAACAAAAACAGCAACAACAGAAAGATTTTGTATAAGCAAACTACTGGTGTTTGCAAACATCGCCAAACAATAGCTGGAGTAGTTGAACCCTAAATGAGTTTTGAAATAGCGAAACTTTTTAAGTTGGAGGTGTGTGATTTGTTTGCTTTTCTTTGTTTTTGTTTTTTCCCCTGGAGAAGTGTAACGTCAAATTTATTCCCTTATTCTGAAGTGTTTTCCCCACCTTACAAGTTTTTGGAGGAGCTCTCTCTTGGCTGCCTGCGTAGACAAACTTCTGTCTTTCCCTGCAGTAATTACTGTAAGGTGGCTGCGTAATCCATTCTGAAATCAAGGCATAATGTAAACTGAGGATGGGGTCCATTAGCAGAGAAACAGGACTTTATATTAAACTAAGTAACAGAAATTACTGCAACTATATTATTCATTTTCATATTTAAGTCTAGATTTTTACCACGTAAATTAAGCTGAGGCAAAATTGAAGTCAGCAGGCATCGAAACCTCAGCCTTTGCTGGGTATCTAGTCTGAGCTCGCAGTGGGTTGTTTGAGGCCTGCAGTGAAGAGCATCTACTGCACTGACAACTGAAATTCCTGAGAGTCTTGTGGCAATCCTGAGGGCTTCGGAAAGTTCAGCCGCTCCCAGAGCCTGAGGTTAGGCACAGTGACGTTTCTCAGACAAGGCCCTTTGCTTTTATTTTCTAGATCAGATGCGGCCCCCAAACCTGCTTTGCTTCAAATGAGCCATGCCCAGTCCAAATCTCATCTTCTCAAATGTCAAGGCCCTGAAAAGTAATTTGTTAGCATTTCCTGGTTTTAGAGTTGTCGTCCTTTAGACCACCAACGTTTTCTGTCAGCGGTTGTCCTTGGGATGCAAGAGCGTGGTTCTGTTTGTGTGCTGCGCAGCACTGATATACCAGCTGTGCTCCTCAGCTTAGCAAACCGTCTGTATCTTGAAGAAACTCAGCAGCCTCTGCTGAAGTATTCTTTCAGATTTCATCTCTTCAGTTGGGTACAGTGCAGTTAACTCAAATGCTTGCGTTGTTTTTTGGCAGCAGCCTGATCCCGTAGCACAGTTGAAGTGTGTACGAACACTCGCAGGCAGATATAAGCTTTATTTGTCTATTCCAGCTAGCTGGTTGTGAGCTTGCTGAAAACAAGGTGATGTGTGGGGGTGCTGAGCCAATGCTAATGCACTCTGCTCCCCGCAAAGTTCACTCCTGTCTGTGTGGTGTATGGGCAGAGCGTGTTCAGGTCTGCCTGTGAAAGCCACAGACATACCCTTAAAAGACCTACATCACTCTGGATGAAGCTGTGAATAGTGAGGTGTTTGAAAAGTACTAAGAGCTTTGTAGAAGTACCAAAACGCAGTAGAGGTAATTGGTTATAGCAAAAGTGTCTTACTGGAAATATTTTTCAGCATCCCTGAGCTTTAAACCTGTTGTACAAAACAAAGAGCCAGAAACATGAATGAATCATGGGATGCAAGTTTCCTTTACTTACAAGATTATGCAGCTGGCTTGCTACTTCTCTTTAGCGCTGTTTCAGTGACTAAATAACGGTTGAGCAAAGACAGAGTTAAAATGCTGGTAGTGGGTACTAGACAGAAAATGAATGGAGAAAGAAATAGAAACACTTTCAAAATGCTTGTGTGGCAGTTTTGCATCTGGCAAAATTACGTCCTTTGGAGAGGAGACAAGGTTGCATGGCTTTTCTGGTTTGTAAATGGCAGACTATCAAAATATTAAAAGTAATGAGGTACAGCTTTTCCTTAAATAGACAAAATGAGCTGTTTGGCATATGTCTACAGCAGGTATTTATAAATCCCATACAGTAAGCGTAGTCTGTAAACCTTTGCAGGTTTGTTTTCCCTACTGCAGAGCTGTCCTTGGTTTCAGAGCTTGTACGTTTTGCATGAAGCTTAAAGTAAGCTTGAAAGAGCAATAAATCCCTTCCAGAGCAGAGCCCTGCCTGGGAGAAAACAAGAGTCCCTCCAGCTGTTCTCTGCACCTGATAGAGGTGCAAAGGGGTGGAGGAGACATTGTACTGCTGTAAGAGCACCTGAGAGCTCAGGAAGGGATTGTCTGCCAAGGCAGTCTCGGATTCAGTCTGAATCTTTCTCCCTTTTAACCCTTCTCAGAGTATGGTGGTAAATGGAAACTGCTCCATTATTTTGCCCAGAACTTCTTTGCACCACTGCTGCCTGTGGCTTATGAAGATAGAGGTGTGTTGTACATCTATGGTGTTTCAGATCTTCACACAGACCATCAGCTGACACTCAGGGTAAGTGACACTTTTCTTGCCACCCCTATGTCCCTTCCCCGTGGTTTCAGCAACTGATATGAGAAACTGCAGCGAACACCTCTTCATATAGGCATGCTTCAGTAAGTCCGTGCTCAAACGCAATGAGGTGCACTTCTCGTCCTTAATCTTCTTAGGGGCAGCGCTATCCCTTACTGCCATAATAGCGTGCACTGCTTCACAGAGCAAGGAATCAATTGCATTGCCTATAGCCTGTTCATATAGTTGAGGTCAGCTGTTCTGTTCAGGTGTTAAAGGGATTTGTGGTTAAATAAAACAAGGGTTGAAAAATAGTACGTCGCTACTTAACGTATCTGTGGCCTGGGTGTTAGAACTAGATTAATTGACTAAAATGAGGAAAAAAAAATTGTCTTGCCAGCACTCGAACTACACTGCTTTAGGAAAAAGGACTAGATTGTTTTGTGAAATACCAACAGAACAGCTAGGTGAACTTTAATTATAAGGTAACCTGTGCAACATCATCATTTCACTATTGATGCCTTAACGGTTTTCTAACGGTGCTATAGAAGCTGATAGGATTTCTTGGGCAGTATTTGGGTTACTGAATTTTGTCCTGTAGAACCCAGTCTTGCTCTTCAGTTTCTTAAGTTTTGTTATTGTTAATCAAATGACAGCATGCCCCAGATGAATTTAGGGGCTGTTTTCCAATTATAAGATACAGTTCCTGATGTAAAGGACTTACAATGGGAAAAGGCTGTGAAGGACAGAAAAGCAAGCCTAGAGAGATGGAATGACTTGCTCATCAGTTCAGAACTAGGTGTTTGGGCATTTTGATTCTGAGTTGACAGCTCTGTCTGATAGGCTGTGACAAATCTTCAGATTCATAAGGTTAGCAGTTCTTAGAAGTTCCACTCTTGTTTCTGTTCTGGAGAGGTTTTTTTGGCAGTTGACAACCTCCAATGTGGAAAATGGTTGCCATTTCTGGATAGCCAGTTCTTAGAGTAGGACTGTGCTTAATGAAATCGTTTATTTCTGGTCTGAGCTATAGTGACAGACTTAAATTCAGATTTTCTGTTAATATCAAAGAAGCGTTGGCAGTAGGCCAGTTCCAATGAATACCGTATTTAGCAGTTCATGAAAAACAGAAACTTAAAAAGTTTTGAAAGGAGCTAAGATCTGTTTTTGATTGCAGACCCCTGATAAGATCAAATCACAACCTAAAGTACGAAAAGATAGAAACCTGTCACTCTATTTAAGGTGCCTATTCTCCAGATTATGCTTTTTCTTTTTTAATTTTAATATAAGGGGGCATTCATAATGCATGCAAGACCTGTGGGAAAGTATGTTCTTCTGTGTTAATATGATTTCCATAATCCCTTTTAGGATGATGCGTTTTGCTTCTATTTAACAGTGATTGTGCAGAAGCTCTAGGTTACCCAGTTGGGTTATATCAGATATCGCTGAGCAATTTCAAGAAAATCCTTTGTTTGACTTCTTTAATTGGGGGAGGGAAGAGTCAAAAAAGGCTAATGCCTTTTTCTAATTACATTTTGCTGCACACCCATCACAACCGGAAGTGGCAACCCCATCCTCTCCAGGAGCTTGGAAAGAACAAAAGGCTTTTCAGGTCAGGAGGAGCAACAGATCCAGACTGTTTGAGATGGACTTGTTTTTAGGTTCATATAACAATCTAATTATTATTCAGTATTTACTGTTTCCATCTTTGTAGAGTGTTTTGCTATTAGAGGTGGAAATTGGTTGCTACTGGCAGACTATCTCTTGCAATGAGTATCTGGACCCAGCCCTAGGATGCTGGGTTGTTTTCACTTTTCTTTCACTAGCTTTTTGCTCTCAACATGCTTGACAGGTCACTGTGCACATATGGAGTTCTCTGGAGCCGGTATGCACCCTTGTCAAAGACAATGTGACCATTGAAGCACAAAGCGCTGTCCCCATCTACAAGGAGCCTATAAACGACCTGCTGAAAAGATGCAGAAACTGTACCAGGAAGAGCTGTGTTGTTACTTTTTACCTTGTGGGAAAAGATGGGCTCCACAGTCCTACGAACCATCACTTCCTGTCATCACTAAAGGATGCTGTGGGCTTGGAAAAGGCTCAGCTTAGTGTAAGCATCAGTCATGCTGGATTTCAGTGTTTGGTTTTGCTAATCTTGCTATTTTGAGTTGTTTGCCCGCTACACGTTGTCTGATTCCACTGAATGTTTTGTCTCCATAGCTGTAGCAATTATAACCTCCACATACAGTTCAAAATGGCTTTTTATTTCCTTGTCACTATATCCATATCCAAATACCACTGTTTTTTTTTTCCCCTCATTTTTCTTTAATAATGAAGTCTCCATTTCACTTGGTTTAGCTGTCTTTCACCTGTCTGTGGTAGCATCCCTGCTTTCATTCTTTTTGTCCCGAGATAGCAAGTAGCGTTGTGGCAAGTGATTTGGCTTGCAGACTGTACCATATGCCAGTACAAAGTGATGCTACTTGGGTGGAGTGTGGAGTGCACTAACTATTGTCAACAGTATTTCCTTTTGAAGTGTGCTCTCTCGGATTGGAGTACCATTGCTAACGCACAACATTGCATGCTTCTTTCCCTCTTCTGCAAAGCCCTGCCTTCTGCCTAAGGGGTTGCGATTTGTATAATAGTGATTATTTCTTAATATCTGTACAGTGTGTCAGCCCTCTGAAAAGGCATAAAGAGCATGAAAGTGTTGTGTAATATTGTCACTTGTTCCATTTGGTGCTTTTCCCTAGATTTCTCCCACACCTAGAAAGCAGTGTGTGTCTGTGTCTGTGTATGCATTTTTAAGCCTCACGTTTTGGCTTGTAAATCTTACTCCAAAATTCTTAATAAGTGGAATAGCAGGATGGAGCCTGTGCATTGCCACATTTGGCTTCCAAACTGCAGCTCTGCTCTTTAGAGCTACGCTAAACAAGGGGGGAATAGAAGTCTTTAATCTCTTTGAATATGGACCAACTTAATTGCTCACAAGAAAAAAATGGGCCAGATTTCCCCCTCTTATCTCTTTCACAGCAGCATGGCCTGCCTCCTGAATATACAAAGGAAAGAAGTCAGTCTGTTTTTAAGCTAGTGGCACAATCTGGAGTCTGAGTCATGCTGGGCTTTTTGGAGATGACATCACCAATAATAAAAGCTGTGTAACTGGAGCATCGTTAGGGAATTTCACTTCTTTTCTCATGGCTGTGTTGTCTCCTCAGGACTAAGTAACAAGGATAGCTAGGAAGGATAAAATGCAAAGCAGTTATTTTAAGAAAGTTTGGAGCTGTGATTTTTTAAAAAAATATGAAGTCTATTTTGCAAGAAGCTGGTACTTCTGTACGTAGTTACTAATAATCTAACTAGACTTTCAAATACATTATTAATCAAATCACTACTTTTCATACTGTTTCTTTGAAAAACATGAAAACTTCTGCCTTTCTTCAGAAAACACAAGTGCATGTGCTTTTTCTTAAGAATTAACAGTGTTTTTCTTGTAAGCGGGACATACTTTCTGCACTTTAATACGTAATTTGTCTGCTTTTTTTTATATATAGTTCATTGGTGTTTGAAAATGATACAGCACAGTATTTCATGATGATGAATGGAGAGTGCTGCAAGAAAATGCATCCTGGCTGTGCTTTTAAGCCTCAGGGAGATTAACTACTGATAGAACTTAATTTAAAACGTTAGAGCTTGTCCTGATGGTTCTCAACATAGCTGCCTTCTAACTGTAGCCTAAAAACTTCACTGCTGTATTCCATTTGGATGAGGTGACCTCCTATGTTACTGTGATTTTTATCATCTTTTTCTCCTGTGTATTTCTATTACTGATATAATCAGAAGAGCCAGCTACTTTGGCCTGTGAATTTATTGAAATAAGTTGCTAAAAGGACAAATATGTCTGACTACAGTAAATATAGGATACCAGTACTAGGTACAGGTTATGTTATCATTTATTCAGTTATTTCCATAAGAAAGTAGTAGAATGATAGCACTTCACGGCATTTTTCCACAGTCTGTAATATTCTGGAGGAAGGCTATAATCAATATTTGCCGGTTTTGTATAATTTTTGTGTATTCATCCTGCTGTTTTTTCCTTTTGTTCCAAAAGACATTTCCATAAGAGAATTAGAAGGGGGAAAATAATTTTGGTTAAACATTGTTATTTCCAGTCTGTTCTACTGACATATACAGCTCTTGCTCAGTTTGGGTATAAGTGGTTGTTCTTACTGCATGTGTATATTTTCATATGTTAAAAAAAATTTTTTCTTTCCTTCTCTTCCAGGCCACTGTATCCCAACAAGGCAGCATTTATATATTTGATCTTCAGACCACTGCAATTGCTCCTTTTGTTTCTCTGGATGTAGGGAGTATAAAAGGCAGATTTAATGATAATGGTTTCCTCATGATCAAAAAGAGGAAAGTGGTTGTGTTTTACCCTTGGGAGCCTACCACTGTTGAAGCACTAGAAAAATCTCTCAGCTTGACCTCTCTGATGGACGTCGTCTGAGGATGCTTCAATTCCTTCTAGTCAAGGAGTGAAGTAGTCAAATTCTTCTGAATTTTTCCTCCTCTTAAAGTTTGTATGATGAAAGAGATGAGCTGACTTCAGAATGTATTGTCCGTTCCTGTTACGTGTGAATTTTAACTCATCTTTCAATGTAAAGATATCAACAACAAAGCTTACATATGTTATATGAGATGCATTGAAAGTAAAGCTTTCTCAGGTAACTGGAAGAATATATCCCGGATAAAAATTGGGAGGGATGGGTTGATGTAAGAGGGCTGGCTTGAGGCCTCCAATTCACTTCAGAGTCATCTGGTTACTGGCTTGTGGATTTATCCTGAGTAAGAGGCTGCGCAGACTATGGTCTCAAAAAACGATATTGTTTCCCTGTTCCACTCTAAGTGAAAAATCTGTTAGGATACGACAAGGTATGCTGGGGTGGGAGGAAGGGCAGGGAATAAAGCTCTGGCCACCTCCGTGGGCGTGCCAAAGAAGTTGGGTGGTACCTTTCCGTACCCTGTTCCCAGTTGGACTGTTTTGATATGTCTACACCCAAATCTGAAGAGCAGTAGTCCTGCCACCCTCACATCTTCAGCTGTCACTCCGGGAAGGTGTCCTATGTGCCATCTGCAAGGTAGGTACTCCAAGTAGACCCAAAACCTGGCCTGTTCAGTCAGGTATCAGGCAGGTCCCTTCTAACTTCTGGAAGGGGAAATCAATATGAGAGTTGTTTTCTTCTTCTCTTTTTTCATGCAACATCGAGCAAAAACCTTGAGAGCTCTGCACTTAGCTTTGTCCGCTCCCAGAGCACTGCAGGTGCAGCCCCAAACCCTTCGGTGCCGCATGGGGTCCTGTGTAACGTGGCGTGGTACGGGATGTTGCTGTCTTTGGGAAGAGGAACGGGAGGAGGTTTGGCTGAGGGTGCAGTGAAAAAGGAGGCAGTGCAGAGTGCAAATGGTCGTGTAAGAGGACCGCAGAGTGACGACTGAAGCGATTGCCGTTTTCTCTAGTAGAATCATGGTGCAGGAGCACACTGCTGCGCAGCTGTTCTGACACCTCTTGGCATTCCTCATGAGTAGCCCTGTGCCCCACGCTGCTGCTCCTCTCCCTCCGGAGGAGTGCCTCTGATTAGCTCAGCTCTGTTTATGAAACAAATTGAGTCGTAACTCTGTCTCCTTTTTTTTTTTTTTTTTTTTTTTTTTGGGTTTTGCTTCAAAGCAAGAAGTGGACGTGAACAAAAGGAAAACCGCAGACTCCTGATTTTGCCTTTTGGAACAGGGTGAGAGTCTTATAGATAGACAACGACTCATGAATAGATTTGGTGGCACACTGAGCTCCCTGCTCCCTAGGAAGTATCTGTGCTTCATGTTTCATTCTGCTTCTGAACAAGTTGTTGTTGAAATGTTTAGATTTCCCATGGAAATGTCTCACTTTGGCATTTTATGCAAAAAAAAAAAAAAAAACAAAGCTTGCTTCAGGCTTGGAGGCTGCAGTCACCTATGGATCTGCAAATGCTGAGGGTCTGGCCATGAGGGAGCCAATGGCTGGAAGTCCAGGCCACTGAGCTGAGCTGCAGGCAGGCTGTTAAAAATCAAGCTTGTTTTCAGATATGTTTTGAAATGTGTCGAGCATCTTGCTGGGGTCCCAGAGGGAGTCTGTTGCGGTTCAAGAAAGTATTCATTTTCCTGCAGAGCACTTAAAAGGAATTGGCACCTTACAGCAGGAGGTGATTGAACCAGCTGTACTGCTGTTGTCCACCTTTGTAGTAAAAGCGCCGTGTAGGTGGTGGTGCGGCAGGGGATCTGGAGCGTGCGTGGGGAGAGCAGCTCCATGCCCTATTAGGTGAGTTGGAGAACTCGCATCTAAAGGTTGCCTTATTGCAGTGACTGCAGTTTTAACAGGCAAACAGATGGGCACATTGACTGATGCCTGGTGATTTGTAGTGCTTTTTGAATGGGTCATTAACCCAAAGCTGAAATACGCCTGAGCAAGGGGAAAAACGTGAAGTGATAAATGCAAGCTGCTTACAAATGCTTTATTTGGTGACCAAAACAACTAACTGCTGTTGCGTAAGAGGGCTTTTCTGGTTCTAAAGTTGTCCTAGTTAAGTTGTGAAAGTAATCAATATATATATGCATATGTACTGGTATTCATAGTTTTTATATAAGACACATATAGAAGATGATAGCAGTGAGTAAGATTTGACAGTTAGAAAACGCAGACACTGATAAAGGAAGTTAAAATTGGTCTGAATGACATCGTAGGCCGACAAAATAAGAACAGTCCTTCGGTTCTTTCGGTGTCCTGGAATGAAGGTGAATGAAAGCAGCAATAGAGTCAATATAAGGTAAGGATGGAAAAATGTAACAATTATGCAGAAAATAGAATAAATACAATTAATGAAAATTACTGCTGTGCTTTAGGAAAAAGGCAGGTTGATATCTTTGTCTGACACGGATACAGAAACGTCTCTTCCAGCAACATCTAGCTGGAATTTCATAATGGCAATTAATAATGTTAAATTAATAAAACTTGGACAGATTTGCTTCAAAGACTATTAAAAGAACAGTGCTATTTATTCTTGGTGCATCTCAGAAGGAGTGAAGTTTTGGAGATGTAGAAAAGAGCTTTCTGGTCTCTGAAAGGCATAAATCATGGATTTGGATAACTGTGACCCTGTTAGCCTGCCTCAAATTTTAGGCAAAATTATGGGAGAAATGATGTGGTATGTTGTCAGTAATGAAAGAAGTGACTATGTAACTAGTGTCCATCCATACTATTTTACAAAAGAATATTTATATAAAATGTCTTTTGCTGTTGTTTTCTGCAGTTACCAGATTGTTATTAAAAAAAGTACAGAAAAACTTGTTAATTACTATTGTTTGTGAAGGTCAGAAGCTCCCCAAAAACTGACTCCATTCTCTTTCCTTGGAAAGCTGTAATTCAGCGCTAGGTGCTGTTGAGGAAGGTAGGCAATTGCTCAAGCCAAATGGTTGGGCTCAATGCAGAATTTTGTGGGGGAAGTTCTCGTCTGTTATTAAGACGGTTCAGATCCAGATGGTCTTCCCCAGCCTTTAATAGCTTTTTGGGTTACTCATGTTTACAGCAGCTTTGTATTTAAGGTGTTATTTTCTTCTCTCCCCAGTGTGGCAGTGGCTGGAACATCTACCTTGTATAACTCTTTTCTCTTGCTATTTCTGCTGTTGCATCCTATGACGTATTTCTCAAATTACATTTTTCTGCCTTTGTCTCAGACCTGGGCAAAGACAGGAATGCAACCGTGAGGAGATAGATCTTCAGAGTATTCATCACTCATGTCTACGCAGCCAGCTGTAGTCATTCGAGCGCTGCTGCAGCTGCTCGACTGCCCCTGTATTGTCAGTTGTGCCTGATGGTCTGCGGATCAGCAGAGGGAGGATTAGGAAAAGCATTTGGTAAGTGTCATGGTGGTTGTCCTCAGTGTTGCTGAATTATTGGTGGTAACAGTAGAGGGGAATACGCTCATCGGGATTCTTTCAAGGTGCAGCCTTGCAACACTTTGTTCAAGGGATGCATGTTCAAGGGTTTGCATAGGCTGATGGCTTTTGCTAAATAACAGTGGTGGAGACTTGAGTCTGCCTGCTGGGCTCCCTCTGGGCCATTCGTCACAGATGGCAAAAGCAGCAGTCAGTTGCTGTTGGCAGGAGCCATTAACTAAAGCCCTTCCCAGAACAGAATTTGAGAGCAGATTTTGGTCACAAGCTATATGGCCTTGGCCACTTTGTTGTCCTAAAACTGGTCTGTGGCACAGATTTGGCTCTGAACCCGTTCCAGACCTGCAGAAATCATCTGGAGCTGCGGACAGCTCCTCTCTATGGTACATCCTGCTACACGAGGCAGATTTGCCCCAGCTTACCACCAGGGCTTCTTTGGGGCTATTCCAGCTCTTCCACATCTGATTTCCAAAGAAGCAGCATGTGACTATACCTAAAACTCTCCAATCCCAGTAAGTGCTCATAGGTCTCTGTCAGTCTTCTGTTAGTACTTTGTGTGCTCTTTGCCTACCTTGTGGCCTGGACTTTTTATTTATTTATTTATTTATCTTTTGCTGTAGAGGCGTGTCTGTCTTCAGTACTTTCACTTCTGTTGGTGCCCCTTTGCCTTTGGAGGTACGTAGCAGAAAGAGTTTTGGTCATCTTGCAGAGAAACAGGCTAGTGAGTTTCTTGTTCTCGGTAAAGGATAGTTAAGACTTCATAGGTAAAAGCCAGCCTTTACGTTGTCAGGATCCCAGTTTACCTGTCTCGCCTCTGAGGCGCAAGTTGAGGAATCCAGTAAATTGCATTTTGAATGTTTAAGGGACATGTTCCAGTCAAAGAACACTATTTCATAACTAAGCTTCCCAAAATTAATTAAAACTGCAATTCAGTGTGAAATTAGGGGGTGAAAACCAACTCTTAAGTGAAAAATACAAAAGCTTAGAAATTACTCAGTTTTGTCTCTGCCAAAATTGAGAAAAGGTCATCTTACTAACCCCTATGACTTCACATAGTAAGGATCTGAAAATGTCAGTTCTGATTATGACTGTGTGCTTTGCAGCCAGAGTAAAGGTGTCTTTTTCCAGTCAAGGCAACTATGGCAAAGGAGACATGCTGCAGCATGACAGGAAACAAACAGCCCGAGGAGACGTCAGGAAGAAGGTGATAAGTCTGGTTGTATGCCAGGGCCTGTATTTTGGGTGGGGGAGGGTCCGCTCATGGCTAGGCCCAAGCAGAGACTTGGAAGTTGATGTGGAAATTTATTGATAGGCTCAGTGAGTGGAAAGTACTTCCTCTACTCCATTGCTCTTTTTTCAGTAGCTTCTTTGCTTTGTGGCTGAGTAGCCAGCCAGTTCTGGACGGCAACGCTCAAAATCTGAGCTCAGCGCTTGCTCTGCTGCCACATTACCTGGGTTCCTGCAAGGTGTTTTTTTTCCAGTTGATGCTTTTACACGTGTGACATAGGAGTAACACTTCCTTTCTGCACAGGGAGTTGTAAGACTAAATCTGTATCTGAGTTGAGCAGGCGCTATGATAATAAGGCATATAAACACCTTTGGATTGTTACCTGTTAAGAAAAATACATCTGCTTTAAATGTTTCTGTTAAGACTTCTCTGCGTTGCTTATGTTTCCTCTTGGTGAGCCCATTTTCTCTGTGTGTCTTCTTCCCAATACCTGTAAGGAGGCAGCAGCATGCTCTCATACTTCCTCTTTCCCCTGGCCTCCTTTCAGCTGTCACCTATACAAGCAAGCATGACCTGTAGGGGCGGGGTGGGGGGACCTTCTACTAATCTGAAAAAAGAGTGAAAAGTACAAACTGTGTTTTAGTGTTTTTCTTTTAATTGAGCTGTTTGAAGTAAACACGAGGCTCTCCAGTAGGCTCGTAGGCTCTCCAGTAGGCTCTCTCTCTGACAGATTAGTACAAAACAAGAAGATACAAACGTGTCTCCTATTAGGACTCTGTGCCTTGGCCTTTTCTGTAGTGCATCCTGCAATACAGTTGGGGGATGCTTCTACATCCTACGCTTACCTATTTCTGACAACTGGTGCAGCATGCCTGCAATGCTTTCTTAAGGTGCTAAGGGTTGACCTATTATGTGACATGACTGTCACATGATAGGAAGTTTCATGTTCCTGTCTGAGTTACTGAGAATATTTTTAAATTAATATTGTTCTATTTCTAAACCAAGAAAGAGTCTGAAGCCTCTTTTGTTAAACAGACTGCAACTGAGTTGCTGCAGAGGGATGGCAAGGAAAGAAGCAAGACTGACATACAAAGCGCTTGAATACAAGGGGCCGCGGACAGATCTCCTGCTGTTCGTTGCGTGATCAGTAACCTGATGAATAGCTGTTATGCAGCGTTCGGTCACAAAATGCTTAGGGAAATACAGGCCCAGATGTCTTCTGTTGGTTTAAAAGCAGAGCTATGTCAGAAATAAGGCTAAAAGTGCTAAGCAACGGCCAGCTCGCCCTGGTGACCTGGGGAAGTGTAGAAACCTGGACAAAAGTCTCTGCCGCTCCCCTGAGCTGTGCTGAAAACTCTGTAACAGTAGAAGGTGCCTTTCACTCAGAGAGCAGCTCTGACAAGAATGAAAACGCCCCTACCTGCCCCTAGCCTGGAACATGAGAATTTTTGACTGTTTCTGGGTTAAAAAAAAAAAAAGAAAAAAAAAAAAAGGTAAAGCTGGACTGCAAAGAGAACCCTGGACAAGTCAAGTCATTGAACAACAACAAAATCCATGAACCTATGACACTGCATATATAGGCTATACATACAATAATTGAGAGATTGGCATTGGTACTGTTATCCATCCTGTTTCTCTAGAAGTAATTCAGGAATTCAGCTGGGTATAAAATTATTTCACAAGTTTTTTTCATTGATAAAGGTATAATTCATTACAACAAATACTACATATTTTTGAATATGGAGACTGAGCTGCTATAACACTAACAATTCCCAACTGTGTCTTGATTTCCTGCCCCCTCCCCCCCCCCCCCCCCCCCCCCAGGGGAGGAACTGCAGGAACTGCACCCAGGTTACTGAGGATGGAGGTGAGCCAAGAGCGTTGCTCCATCAAATCTTCAGCTTAGGGTCAGGAAAGCTGGCTGCAAGTGAGTGATAGTGGTATGACTCCTCTGCTCATTATGCTTCATCATGGAATCTAATACTGTTCTGTATTCTTGGTAAGGCCAACATTTGTAACTGTTACACTCACCAGTGGAGAATTAACATCAAACAAAAAGAAAAGCTGCTCAGGAATACAGTTATGGAGGTGCTTTCAGCTGACCCAAACCAGAACCATCTCAGAGTTTTGCTGAGATGCCAGATCAGTTGATTTCAGTGGCAATGATTATCTGCTGCTATAATTATGAGAAGAGAGAACTAACAGAGACCATGACTCAGAGGCTTTAGTTCCAAAGCTGCTCAGCAGTAATTGATGCTCCTGGCCTCCTCCTGTAAAAGATATCTAAGCTTTAACACAAGTTAAAGCAACCCTCCCTTTATTTTAGTACTTGGAAATAAACATAATTTTTGCATCAGTTCCTAAAACTGAAATAATAAATCTTTAGTAGCTCTACTTGAGAAGCAGGTAAGAACTGCAGCAAGCATAGACAGGAGATTATTTTGGATTTTTTATTATAAAAGTAAAATAAAAATAAGCATTTAAAAAGCACACTTTTTTTTTTTTAAAGAAATGATATAAAAATTATTTACAAATAGGAAAAAATGCTAAACTTGGAAAAAAAAATTGAATAAGAGGCACCAAAGTTAAGTTTAAATACATTAATTGAAATATACAAGGTTTTTTTTTTTTTTTAAGAACTGTCTTTTCTGTCTCAGAGTAGTCATTGCTGTGATTAAAGTCATGATTTTTCTTTGCCAGCCATTTTATGAGCTTTTTTCATGGAACTGTGCTGCAGAAATTGTGAAGGGATAAGCTAGAAGCTGTATCCTTTGATTGCTCTGTGTGCCTTACCTCTTTTTAAGTGAGTTGGTATTTATGCATTAACAAGGAGTGACTTTCATCTAAAAAGGAAAATCGGCACAAACCAGAAGAGCTCGGTCAGTCATTCACAGTGTCCGGTCCTGTGTATTAATATGGTGGTAGAGCCCTGGTTATTGTACATGGTTTGTAAATGAACAAAGTTAAATGTACTTGAGGAAGGAAGCAATGGTTATGAGTCACATGCTGAAGTCGCAATTGGTTCAGGTGCGAGCGTGGTTCCTCCGGTGTGGTTTCGGTTGTGAATTTACTTCCCTCTGAACAGGATGACAGACATGTTAAGTGTCACGTTTTTTCCTGTAATTGCATTTTGCTAATTGGCTATATTTTACTTTGCACTGAACTTTCATGTCCGTAGCCCAGGGTCATTTTGCTAAGTGTTATTGATGACTTGCTGTTTAGAGACTCAGAATAAGTAAAGCTCAGTTTGCGGAAGGAGGTCTCCACACCGCTATCACACACACTTTCATTGTCTTGAAATTTGCTATTATAAAGTTCACCTGAGAGAGGAGAAAAAAAAAAAAAAAAAAAGGAAAAATGTTACACTTTCTTCTGTTTCAGTCATGTCCTGGAGAGCCCGAGGAATATATGACAGTAGAAAAGCTGTTGTTTAGGAAAATCCTAACTGTAACTCTTTCTTTGCAATAGGAAAAGTGCTGAATGGTTTTAGCTGGCCAGGGCCTATGATCTGATGCACTGCTGTCTGCAATCATGTGCTGTCACAACTGGTCAGAGTTGGATGGGATTAGAAACCTAGTGGTCCGCTGGAGGTAATGCTGTCACCACACACCAAGCCAGGACACTGTAGGAGCGTGGTAGTAGCAGAGTAAAAAGGTCTCTGGACCTCAGATGCATAGACTCTATGCAAGCGCACAGCTCCAGGATGAGGCCCCTAAAACTCTCCCACATTATTTCACTTAGCGATTTCTTTTTAAGATAAAAATTATTCAGGTATTTATCTAGTTAGTTGAAGTAAGCCCGAAATACAAAGAGTTCAGTAGCAGCTGTCACCTGTGCAAGATGTATAAAAGAATGCCTGATGGCAAGAGAATTGTATCTGACTTGAAGGTATGGGATGGGCTCAGTGCAACTGAAACACTCATCAGGATATTATAGAGCTCTTGCCTTGCTGTCAGTCTTACCTGTCTGCCCTTTTATGGAGGAGGGTGGTGATGGGGAGGGAAGAGCTTCTACTGTGCTGTCCTTTTGGTGAGGCTGGCTTTGTGAGATGGATAGTGCTTTCTGAATAATTTCAATGGCTTCTGTGTAATCCATTTGTCTCAAAGCAGCAAGCAACTCTTGAATTGTACCCCCGGAAACCTAAGTGAGAAGATGATGTAAGATGGTCATCCTGCAGGTAAGCTTGCTAAAACCACGGTTCTCCTGTCTTACTGCAGGAGAACCATGTTCTATGTATGCCTGTCTGTCCTTTAAAACTTGTTAAGGCCACATTACCTCGTAGTTATCTAGCAGAGTTTTTGATGGGGAAGGGCTCAACCTGAAGGCATTGTTAAGTATGCCAAGACCCAGTTTTTGTGCTAGGGTAGACCAGTTTTTGTTTGGATCAGGTGCTTCTAACAGTTTGTAAAGCTGCATCTTGGAGCTTTCATTCAGCTCTCTCATATGTCCTAGGGAACAGAGAAAGTTGTTAGTTTACTTATACAAATCATGCACCAGTTCATCCCTAAGCAGAAACAAAGCTATATTAGAGAGTGCCTATTTTAGTATCCATCAATCACAGTTTTTACTAATATGTAACTGTAATAGTAAAAATGTACTACTCTGTATCTTTGTGACCCACCACTCAACAGAATCATGCTCCTTTTATGAATCTGTGTGGGCTTTCTTCCCCCTCCCCCTTTCATAATTTCAGTTACAAGCTTATTGCAGAGCAACAATTTCTTCTGCAAGTAGCTTTCAGTACTCAGCTGTTAATTACTAGAGGGTTATTATCAGATCTTCTCTATAGATGTTACCTTGTGTCAGTAAGTCCTCTGAAACCACTGCTGACTCATAGGGTTTGCCATTTAATATGTCATACACCTAAAAGAATTCAGTAAAGTTAATATTTAGAAGAAACCTGGTCATTGTTTATTATCTTGAGAAGTCTCAGTAGTGTTGTCTAAAACTCTGTTTGCAGCTGTAAATAGGCAATTGTTTTGTCCCAGGATCAGTATGACTAAAAACACTGCAGAAGACCTGTGCAAAGCTTGAGGGGGAAACCTTGAGAACTTAATCTCCCTTGCCCTTTAGCTATGTTATCTGGCAAACAATAACGTGTTTTCAAGGTATGGAGGAAGCCTTTGCAGTAAATAAAAGCTGGCTGTCTAAGCAGGCGCTATCTGCCTGCAGCTAGTACTTTAAAACAAAGCATGGTTTAGATTTTCACCTAAGGCATCACTCCCCACCCCAGCTCAACGTGATCAGAGATGCTGACTGCTTGTGCCTTACGCTCAAATCAAACCAGCTGCACACATTCAGATACTAAAGCATCTCTTGTGTAGGCAAAATACACTTTAGTGTCCTAGCCAAAGCGTCTAATTCTGAAGAACGTGCAAAGAAACCTGCTACAAGTGTCTCACCCTGAATATGTGCCTTAAAATATATGCCACCCAACTGGCTAAATACTTTCCCCGCCTGAAGACTCTAGCACACTGTTTCAAGAAGTGCCTGGTTATTCCTGTCTTAGTTTAAGTAGTCTGTTAAGTGGAGCTTTCTGCCAGTGTTGTTTCATGATTTTTGGTAGCTTGCTAAGTTTATTTTTTGATAGTGTTTCAGGAGTCCTGGTAAACTTGTCACCACTGAAACACCTATGGACCATGAAATAAGTGTGCTGAAAGCTGAAGCATCATTTAGTATTCAAAAAAAGATAAAAGATCCAGACGACGCACCGCACAGTTGGCCGCCATATCCAGCGGTGTTGTTCCAGGCACAATTCCTTCATCATCATCTTTTACATCCTCTAGCTCAAACAATGGCTCAAAATTCTCAATATGAGGATTTGCACCTGGAATATGAGCGTTGAAAACAAATCCAAAGGAAAGGTTTTGGCTTGCTTTTTGGCAGCATTTAAAATATACATTCCAAATTTTCAACGGCAACTTTTACTAACACTTAAGCTAGGCTGTGTTTTTATATTAAGTTAACAAATAGGATTATTATTTTTTCTGTATCCACTAAAAAGTTAAGTGCTGTCATGTCCCTATTTAACACTACTATCTCCATTATACAGATGGAAAATATCAAAAGCAGAGCATTTAGGGCCAAAGAAAGAACTATGGTTACATAAACTGACTTTTGGTCCCATTCCTGGCTGAGACAGAGCATGTGTGATGAAGTGATGGGGTGGTGCTTCTTTTCTTTAGTGTCAGAGAAAGTGCATATATTATTAAAAGACCAAGAACACACCATGAGCAATGGGAGGCTTGGCTTTCTATTTCAAAAGCAAAAAAAAAAAAAAAACAAACAGGTATAATGCAGCTAAACAGAACTGGAAAGAACGCTCCAGTACTTACAACTTACTCTGTTGCTACAGTGAAATGCAGTAGGAGACATTAAGTAGCTCATGTTCCAGTGATGTTTTCCTTTGCTTTTAAAGTAGTCTGAGACTTGTCTCAACTGTATAACAAGGTCTCTTCTCTGCTTCATCAGATATAAGAATTTACAAAAGAAATGCTCAAACTCCTATATTAAGTGCTTGACAGATTTGTTTCTTGACTAAGATAGTTTGTTTTGTAGCCATTAGATGGTGCTAAAGAGTAGCACAGCCTCCAAAAGTGTGACTTCAGACTAGAAACAGACCTTCAGGCCTGTTACTTAATAAGCGGAAGAAATCAGATGGTAAGTTCACTGGCACATTCCTTTCTGCACACTACCTTCTAATC